TGTAGTAACACTTTTCAGTGATTCTCATTTCTTTAATTAAAGATGTCTCTGTACTTTTGAGTATAATTAGGTTTTGGTGTATATAGGACAAATTAATTGCTTGACCTCCAAAGGTCTCTGTGATCTGTAGTTTGGAATCCTTGGTTTAAAGCAGTGTACTTTTGCTTCAAATATAAATAAGTAATTTCAGTATTTAGTTTTTTAAAGATTTTATTTTATTTGAGAGGTAGAGTTACAGACAGTGAGAGGGAGAGACAGAAGGGTCTTCCTTCTGTTGGTTCACTCTCCAAATGGCCATAATGGCTGGAACTGTGCCAATCTGAAGCCAGGAGCCAGGTGCTTCTTCCCAGTCTCCCACATGGGTTCAGTTCCCAGATGGCCACAATGGTCAGGACTGAGGTTGGAGCCAGCTTCTTGGTCTCACATGTGATGGGGACCCAAAAAACGTAGGCAGGGAGCTGGATTGAAAGTAGACCTGGCCGACGCCGTGGCTCACTAGGCTAATCCTCCGCCTGCGGCGCCGGCACACTGGGTTCTAGTCCTGGTTGGGGCGCCGGATCCTGTCCCGGTTGCCCCTCTTCCAGGCCAGCTCTCTGCTGTGGCCAGGGAGTGCAGTGGAGGATGGCCCAGGTGCTTGGGCCCTGCACCCCATGGGAGACCAGGAGAAGCACCTGGCTCCTGCCTTTGGATCAGCGCAGTGCGCTGGCCGCAGCGCGCCGGCCGCGGCGGCCATTGGAAGGTGAACCAACGGCAAAAGGAAGACCTTTCTCTCTGTCTCTCTCTCTCACTGTCCACTCAGCCTGTTTAAAAAAAAAAAAAAAAAGGTGGAATGACAGAAAGAGAAAGATCTTCCATTTACTGGTTTATTTCCCAAATGCTCACAACATTCAGGGCTGGGCCATGCAGAAGCCAGGAACCAGGGACTCCATCTGCGTTTCCATGTATGTGTCAGGGGCCCAAACACCGAGGCCATCAGCAGTTACCTCTGAGGATACATTAAGCAGGAAGGTGGGTCCGGACCAGAGCATCTGGGATTCAGGCATTGCAAGCAGTGGCTCAGCTCACTGCACTACAGTGCCTACCCTAGTTTTCTCTTAATGTACACATTTTCCTGATTTTGAAAGAAAAGATTTATATATTTGAAAGGCAGAGTTAGAGGCTGAGACAGAGATCTTCCATCTGTTGGATGGAAGATCCCCAAATGGTTGCAATGGCCAGGGCTGGGTTAGCCTGAAATGAGGAGCCAGGAACTCCATCTGGGTCTCCCACATGGTTATAGGAACTCAGGCACTTGGGCCATCTTCTGGAATTTTTCCTAGGTTCATTAGCAGGGAGCTCGATCACAAGTGGAGCAGCCGGGATTCGAACTGGCACTCATTTGGTATTCTGGATCACAGGCATCACTCTACCTGCTAGGCCACACTGGGTCCCATCAATTCCAATCCTCCCTCTGCTTTTTAAGATTTATTTATTTGAATGACAGTTGCAGAGAGGAAGAGAACACTTCCCATGATTTTTTTTTTAAAGATTTTTTATTTGAAGGGCAGACCTACAGAGAGGCATAGGCAGGGAGAGGAAGAGAGAGAGAGAGGTCCTCCATCTGCTGGTTCAGTCCCCAGATGGCTGCAACAGCCAGAGCTGGGCCGATCCAAAGCCAGGAGCCTGAAGCTTCTTCAGAGTCTCCCATGTGGCTGCAGGAGCCCAAGGACGTGGGCCGTCTTCACTGCTATCCCAGGCGCATTAGCAGGAAGCTGGATCAATAGGAAGTGGAGTGGCTGGTGCCGCAGCTCAATAGGCTACTCCTCCGCCTGCTGCACCAGCACACTGGGTTCTAGTCCCGGTCGGGGTGCCGGATCCTGTCCCGGTTGCCCCTCTTCCAGTCCAGCTCTCTGCTGTGGCCAGGGAGTGCAGTGGAGGATGGCCCACGTGCTTGGGCCCTGCACCCGCATGGGAGACCAGGAGGAATCACCTGGCTCCTGGTTTTGGATTAGCGCGGTGTGCCAGCCGCAGCGGCTGTTGGAGGGTGAGCCAACGGTAAAGGAAGACCTTTCTGTCTGTCTCTCACTCACTGTCCACTCTGCCTGTCAAAAAAAAAGGAAGTGGAGCAGCCAGAACTCGAACCAGCACCCATATGGGATACCGGCATTGCAGGCGGCAGCTTTATCTGCGATGCCGCAGTACCAGCGCCCAGGTTGTTTTATTTATTTATTTACTGGGGCAGGCACTGTGGCATAGCTGGTAAAGCTGCCCCCTGTAGTGCCGGCATCCATATGGGCACTGGTTCGATTTCTGGCTGCTCTACTTCCAATCCAACTCTCTGCCATGGCCCGGGAAAACAGTAGAAGATGTCCCAAGTCCTTGGGCCCCTGCACTCACATGGGAGACCCGGAAGAAGCTCCTAGCTTTGGTTCTGCACAGCTCTGGCCATTGGGGACAATTGGGGAGTGAACCAGCAGTTGGAAGAACTTTCTCTGTCTCTCTGCCTCTCTGCCTCTCCTTCTCTGTGTAACTCTTTCAAATAATCTTAAATTTATTTATTTGCATGAGAGGCAGAGTTACAGACAGAGAGAGAGGTCCTCTATCTGCTGGTTCACTCCCCAGGTGGCTGTTGGAGCTGAGCTGATCTGAAGCCAGGAACCAGGAGCCCCTTCCTGGGCCATCCTGCACTGCATTCCCAGGCCATCAGCAGGGAGCTGGATTGGAAGTGGAACAGCTGGGACTTGAACTAGTGCCCGTATGGAATGCTGGCACTGTAGGCAGGTACTTAACCCACTGTGCCACAGCGTCAGCCTCTGCCCCCAAATTTTTCTTTTGAGATTTATTTATTTGAGAGGCAGAGTTAGATAGGGAGAAACAGAGGTCTGGAGCAGCCGTGACTAGAACCGGCGCCCCTATGGGATGCCAGTGCCGCAGGCAGAGGATTAACCTACTGCGCCATGGCATTGGACCCTGCTCCACTTCTGATCCAGCTCTCTGCTGTGGCCTGGGAATGCAGTAGAAGATGGCCCAAATTCTTGGGCCCCTGCACTCCCATGGGAGACCAGGAATAAGCACCTGCTCCTGGCTTCGGATTGGGATTGGTACAGCTCCAGCTGTTGCAACCATGTGGGGAGTGAGCCAGCAGATGGAAGACCTTTCTCTGTCTCTCCCCCTCACTGTCTGTAACACTACCTCTCAAAATAATAAATAAAAAACTTAAAAAAAAAAAAAAGAAGTAGAGCAGCTGGACTCGAACTGGCGCGGCAGGCAGAGGTTTAACCTACCAAGCCACAGTGTTGGACCCTCCCATGGATTTTTGAAGATGCCTTGTATTCATGGATTCCTGGATTTTTTTTGCATCAGAATATACTTTTAATTCCATTTTCACAGTTTTTTGAAGTATTTTTGTTAAGTAAATTATTTCAATGAAATTAATGAGGAAAGTTAAAATTGAGAAAGCCTGTTAGGTTTCTTTTTTCCTTTTTGTAAAATGGGTAAAAATCCATTTTCGTGGTAGACTATGTTGTTCTGGCTCCTAGGATTATATTTGTTGAGAGTCAGAGTTACACAGAGAGAGAAGGAGAGGCAGAGAGAGAGAGAGGTCTTTCATCCACTGGTTCACTCCCCAGTTGGCTGCAGTGGCCGGAGCTGCGCTGATGTGCTTCATACTCCTTCCACCAAGTCCGGTGGGTAGATTCTTCCTCCTGAGTGTCCTGGAAGTCACTCCCTCTTTGTCTCTCTTCCCTGTGGTTATAACATCATCTCTCCTCTGCTCTGCTCTGCTGGAACACTGTTTTGCTTTTGTTTTTATTTTTTTAATAGTGGTTGAATCTTTTTTAAAAGCATGTATTTATTTATTTAAAAATCAGTGTTACACAGAGAGAAGGAGAGGTGGGGGGGAGGGGGTGGGAGGGAGGGAGAGAGAGGGAGAGAGGTCATGCATCCGCTGGTTCACTCCCCAGATTCTGTGGCGGCTGGAGCTGTGCTGATCCAAAAGCAGGAGCCAGGAGCTTCTTCCAAGTCTCCCACGTGCGTGCAGAGGCCCAAGCGCTTGGGCCATCCTCTGCTTTCCCAGGCTACAGCAGGGAGCTGTATTGGAAGTGGAGCAGCTGGGATTCGAACCGGCACCCATATGGGATGCTGGTGCTACAGGCTGTGACTTTAAACCATTACTCCACAGCGCTGGCCCCTGGAATAGTTTTCTGTGGTGTCTTCCTGTTTCTGGTTTTACTTTCCCTTTCAGTTTTTCCAAGATTTATTTATTTATTTATTTACTTGAGAGGCAGAGTTATGGAGACGCAAAGGCAGAGAGAGGTCTTTATCCGCTGGTTCACTCCCCAGATCGCCACAATGGCGGTGCTGCGCTGTTCTTAAGCCAGGAGCTTCTTCCAGCTCTCCCTCACGGGTGCAGGGGCCCATGGACTCGGGCCATCTTCTGCTTTTTCAGGCCATAGCTGAGAGCTGGATCGGAAGGGGAGCAGCTGGGACCAGAACCGGAGCCTATATGGGATGCCGGCACTGCAGGCGGTGGCTTTCCCCACTGCAGTGCAGACCCCCCACATTGCTTTTGAGTAATCTAAATCTCAGATCTGTCTCAAGCAGTTCTCCATCTAAAAACCCTTTGGTAACCTGTAATACCCCAAGATTTGAATGACACCCCCCCCAGGATGGTGGACAGAGCTGTGGATGATACCTGCATCTCCTGCGTGAGACCCTTTGCTTCTGTCCCGAGTGTTCATACCTATGTAGTTGCTCCAGCTGTAGTTCTTAGGAGTGCCTGCGCAGGTGTGATCTGCTCCATCGTCATTTGTCTCACAGTACTTTTAGGCATGAAATACACTCTTGCTGTGGTTACCTACTTTTCTGTCCTCTGTTTCTGTATGAGCTTCTGGAGAACAGAGAATAGTTCTCTTATATTTTGCCTAACACCAAGTTCTTGATAAATACTGAATGAATAGACCTGGTAAGAGGAACACATGTCACTTCAATTTTTATGTTAATATTTAATTTTTTTTTTAAAGATGGTGGAACCAGGGCAAGATTTACTGCTTGCTGCTTTGAGTGAGAGTGGAATTAGCCCAAATGACCTCTTTGATATTGATGGTGGAGATGCGGGACTTGGAACTCCAACACCCACTCCACCAGTTCAGCAGGTAAGGGTTTTCCATAGGCTCTGTTAAGGAGTAGGTTCCCCCCCAAAATGTTTATGTATTTTCTTCTATTAAAAGTTCTCTCCCCATGTGGCTGTGACATCCAGGGCTGGGCCAGGCTGAAGCCAGGTGCCCAGAACTCCATCTGATTCTCTCTCATGGTTGGCAGGGGCCTCCCAGGACAGATTAGCAATAAGTTGGGTTGGAAGTGGAGTATCTGACACTGAACGGCCATTCAGATATGGGATGCAGGTTTCTCAAGCAGTAACTTAACCTACTCACTGTACCACTACATCTGCTCCAGGGATATTTTTTTAAAAGATTTATTTATTTGAAAGTCATAGTTACACAAGAGAAGGAAAGGCAGAGAGAGAGAGAGAGAGAGAGAGAAAGGTCTTCTATCCACCGGTTCACTCCCCAGTTGGCTACAATGGCCAGAGCTGTGCTGATGCTAAGCCAGGAGCTTCTTCTAGGTCTCCCATAGGGATGCAGGGTTCCAAGGACTTGGGCCGTCTTCTACTGCTTTACCAGGCCATAGCAGAAAGCTGGATCGGAAGTGGAGCAGCCGGGACTCGAATTGGCACCCATATAGGATGCCAGTACTGCAGGCGGCTGGCAGCTTTATTTGCTACACCACAGCGCCAGTCCTGGTATATTTTATTAATTCATAATCTCCACTTAAGTGAATATTTGTAAAACTTACTTTTAAATATACTTGTGACTGTTATTTTTAGGTTGAGTGTTGTTCTTTCATGAGGGAGATATTTGCAAGGAAACCCCCCCTTTAAAAAAAAAGATTTATTTGAAAACAGACAGAAGGAAGAGACAGAGTGAGAGAAATCTTTCATCAGCTAGTTCACTCCCCAGATAGCTACAATAACTTGGGCTGCGCCAGGAGCCTGGAACTCCATCCATGTCTCCCATGTTGGGGGCAAGGAGCAGCCAGGAGCTTCTTCCAGGTCTCCCATGTGAGTGCGGGGCCCAAGCACTTGGGCCATCTTCCACTGCTTTCCAGGAGCATTAGCAGGGAGCTGGATTGGAAGTGGAGCAGTTGGGACTTGAACTGGTGCCAGTATGGAATGCTGGCACCTTAGGCTTGGCTTTACTCGCTGTGCCATGGCGCGGGCCCCGTCCCCAGCTCTCTTACATAGAATGCTAGAATCACAGGCATGTGCTTAACCTGCGCCACAGCGCAGGCCCAGGACATCATTTTCTGTCTTTTACTTATCTGGAAGACAGTTACAGAGAGAGGTAGAGACAGAGAGGGCCTCCATCAACTGGTTCACGCCCCAAATAGCTGAAGATGAATTGTTTGGTGTTTGTGGATCATTATCTCCTTTATAGCTGTCTTTTATTTCTTAAGGTTTATTTATTTATTTAAGAGGCTGAGTTAGAGAGGGAGAGACCAAGATCTTCATCCTCTGGTTTACTCCCCAAATGGCTGCAATGGCTGGAGCTGGGTGGCTCAGGAGCTTCTTCAAGGTCTCCCTCACGGGTACAGAGGCCCAAGCACTCGGGATATCTTCTGTTGCTTTCCTAGGCACATTAGCAGGGAACTGGAGCAGAAGTGGAACATCCAGGACTTGAACCAGCACCCATATGGGATGCAGGGACAGAGTTTGACTTTACTGTACATCCTCTCTGAAAACAAAGATAAGATTCTGTCGTGAGCATAGTTTATTGGAGATTCAGTGCCTGTAAAGGTTGTTAGCGTTCAGTCTGGTATTGGTGATTTCACATTCAGCCTGAACGTACAGTGTGACGTTTTTGTTTAAGTAAAATGCAACTCTTGCTGTTGAAGCAGAGCTCACTGACCTCCTTCCTTTCTCTGATGGTGTTTTCCCTGCAGTCTGTGCCCCTGAATGCGTTAGAACTGGGTTTGGAGACTGAAGCAGCAGTTCCTGTTAAACAAGAACCAGAGGCTGTCCCTCCTTCAGCACTGTTAAATATGAGGGTAAGAACTGTTTCCGTGGCACATTGCTTCTAGCATATTTTAGGATTACAGTTAAAAAAAAAAACAACATGGAGTAGGAAATAGTTATGTCCCCAAGGTTTTGTTTTGTTTTAAAGATTTATTTATTCATTCATTTATTTGAAAGGCAGAGGAATAGATATTCTATTCTCTGGTTCACTCCCCAAATGGCCACAACAGCCAAGTGTGGGCCAGGCCAAAGCTGGGAGCCAGGAACTCCAAACAGGTCTCCCATGTTGGTGCCGTTGGTGCACCATTCTCCACTGCCTCGCCAGGTGCCCGGAGCAGAAGCTGAGCAGGCGGAGCTCCAGCCAGCGCTCACCAGCTGCGACATAACCTGCTGCTCCACAGTGCCGCCCTGTGTCTCCCTAGTTTATTTTTGCTACTTTCCAAATATCTTACTGTTACCCTTCTACTCTATAAAACATTTCTGTCACTCTCTAGGCAAGTATGTTTAGCAAAGGAAAATTAAAATCACAACAGTTTTTTGAGATTATTTATTGCACCTATTTAGGAAATTCACCTTTATCCCACTGTTCTTTTTTTTTTTTTTTTTTTTGAACAGGCAGAGTGGACAGAGAGAAAGGTCTTCCTTTTTGCTGTTGGTTTACCCTTCAATGGCTGCCGCGGCCGGCGCAGCTGCGCTGATCCGATGGCAGGAGCCAGGTACTTATCCTGGTCTCCCATGGGGTGTAGGGCCCAAGCACTTGGGCCATCCTCCACTGCACTCCCTGGCCACAGCAGAGAGCTGGCCTGGAAGAGGGGCAACTGGGACAGAATCCGGCACCCCGACCGGGACTAGAACCCGGTGTGCTGGCGCCACAAGGCGGAAGTTAGCCTAGTGAGCTGCAGCGCCGCCTCCACTGTTCATTTTTACTTACTTATTTCTGCTTTTGTTTTTTGGCCTTTTATGTGATACCTATAGTTTTACTTTAAATATAGAGTTCATTTTTTACCTTAATTACCTTAAACATGGGAATTAATAACTGAAGTCTAGTGGTATAAAATCACTAAACAAAAACTGTTTAGTTCAAAGTTGATAATTTATGGTAGTTATTATTGAGAGTTTTATTTTAATGGCTTATTTATTTGAAAGGCAAAGAGACAAAAGATCTTCCATTCTCTGGTTGAATCCCCAAAAGCCCCAACAGCTGGGGCTATTCCAGGCCAAAACCGGGGGCCTAGAACTTCATCTGGGTCTCCCTCGTGGGTGCCACAAACCCAAGTACTTGAGCCATCTTCTGCTGCTTTCTTTGCCAGCATTAGCAGGGAGCTGGATTGAGGGCAGTGCAGACAGGCTGTGAACCTACGCTCCGATATGCAGTGTTCCAATACGAGGTGCAGGCGATGCCGGCGGCAGCTTAACCCACTGCTCTACAACACCAGCCCCTATTATTGAGGCTTTTATTGAAAAGTGTAATCTAGAAGACTTGTTAATGGAGCCATGTAAAAATAGTTTGAGGAGGAAATAAGGTAGAAATAGACTTAAATTTATAAAACATCCTAGTTGTGTGTATATTCACAGATAACATTATTTTCAAGTCAGCATCTTTTTTTTTTAAATTTTAGTTTTCTTCCCACTTTACATTCCCAATAAAAAATAAAGTGCTGTGTACATTGTTGTATGCTGAGATAGCACCTGCATTACCACCAATGTCTTGCTTACCTATCTTCGTTGTTTTTATAACATAGGAATTTAAAACTGGTTGTTTTTGCTGTTTTCAGTTGTACACTTTGACAGGAGTTGTGGGATTCTTAGAGGGGGAGTGGCCTTCAGGAAAGCACAGGCCTCCAGGCTTCAGAGCTTTGCATGCAGTTGTCTCGACTGGTTGGCAGCACTGACCCTGGGAATTCTCCCTGTCCCTAGGCCTTCTGTTGTTAGGGCTACTTTGCTGTTCATCACAGTGAGCTGGGGATAGTTCCATTTTCTGCTTGCTGACCCTGGTGGTTATATCAGATGTCACACTACTGCTATACCTTCTTTTCCTCAACATTGTGTTTTGATTTGGTAGTTTGTAGGTAATTATAAGAAAATTAGAAATGAAATGCCAATAGTCAGGCAAGAATAAAATCAATTTTAGGCTTAAAGCGGTGTCCCATGCTCTTGGGTTAAGTTAGAGGTAAGGGGGTCACATGCTTTGTTTGTTTTCTCAGCAGCAGCCTCCATCTACTACGACTTTTGTGCTCAATCAAATAAATCAGCTTCCGACCTTGGGATCTACAATTGTGATGACTAAAACACCACCTGTGACAACCAATAGGCAAACCATCACTTTAACAAAATTTATCCAGACTACTGCAAACACACGCCCGTCAGTCTCAGCACCAGCAGTCCGAAATGCAGTGACCTCTGCTCCTTCAAAAGACCAGGTTCAGCTGAAGGATCTGCTCAAAAATAACAGTCTGAATGAACTCATGAAGCTGAAGCCACCTCCTAATATTGCGCAGCCAGTTGCCACGGCAGCTAGTAAGTGTGTTTTCAGTAATATCAACTTTCTGCTTGGTAAGTGTGTCCAGGTGTATTTTTAAAGGATTTGCTTCTAAGATTTATTTATTTATTTGAAAGGTAGAGTTAGAAAGGGAGATCTTCCAATTGCTGGTTCACTCCCCAAATGGCCACAATAGCTGGAGCCAGGCCGATCTGAAGTCAGGAGCAAGTAGCTTCTTATGTGTCTTAAACATGGGTGCAGGGGTCCAAGTATTTGAGCCATTTTCTGCTGGTTTCCCATGCACATTAGCAGTGAGCTGGATCAGAAGTGGAGCAACCAGGACTCAACCTGGCACTCATATGGGATGCCAGCATTGCAGCTCGCAGCTCTTACCTGCTACACCACAGTGCCTGCCCCGGTTTTATTTGTTTTAAAGATTCGAGGCCTGAGGCTCCAGCATCCCATGTGAGCACTGGTTCTGGTCCCGGCTGCTCCTCTTCCGATTCAGCTCTCTGCTGTTGTCTGGGAAAGCAGTTGAGGATGGCCCAAGTCCTTGGGCCCTGGTGCCCATGTGGGAGACCTGGGAGAAACACCTGGCTCTTGCCTTTGGATCGGCGCAGCTCTGGCTGTTGTGACCATCTGGAGAGTGAACCAGCGGATGGAAGACTGTCTCTACCTCTCTTTGTAACTCCTCTGTCTTTCAAATAAGTAAGATACATCTTTTTTTAAAAAAAAAAATTTATTTGAAAAAATGATGGAGAGGAAGAGAGAGAGAGGTATCTTCTGTTTACTCAAGAAGTCCTCCCCAGCTGGGGCTGGGCCTGGCTGGCCCTAGGAACCAGGAACTCCCTCTGGATCTCCTTGTAAGTGGCAGGAACTCAAGTACTTGCCATCTTCCACTGCTTTCCCAGGTTGATTAGAAGGGAACTGGGTGGAAGTGGAATAGCTGAGACTTGAGCAGGCACAATGCTAGGATATACAGGAGTGGATGTGTAGGCGTTAAAGTGGCAGCTTAACCCACTGTGCCACAGTACCTGCTGCAAAGCAGTTTTATTGAGATATCATTCATTTAACATTCACTCTGTTAATTTGAGCAACGCATTGGACTTTAGCAAATTAGTGAGGTGTAGCCATCACCACTTTCTAATCCATAATACTTTGTGAGATTTAATTGTTATTATTTTTTTTAAGACATACTTATTTGAAAGAGAGGAAGATGGCCGGCGGCTCAATAGGCTAATCCTCCGCCTTGCGGTGCCAGCACACCTGGTTCTAGTCCCGGTCGGGGTGCCGGATTCTGTCCCGGTTGCCCCTCTTCCAGGCCAGCTCTCTGCTGTGGCCCGGGAGTGAAGTGGAGGATGGCCCAAGTGCTTGGGTCCTGCACCTGCATGGGAGACCAGGAAGAAGCACCTGGCTCCTGGCTTTAGATCAGCGCGGTGCACTGGCCACAGCGCCCATTGAAGGGTGAACCAACAGTAAAGGAAGACCTTTGTCTCTCTCTCTCTCTCTCACTCACTCTCTCACTCTCTTACTCTCTTACTGTCCATTCTGCCTGTCAAAAAAAAAAAAAAAAAAAAAAAAAAAGGAGAACTTCCATCCTTTGGTTCACTCCTTAGATGGCTGTAACAGCTAGAGCTGGGCCAGGCTGGTGCCAGGAGCTTCATGCAGGTCTCCCACACAAGGGCCAGGGTCTCATGTACTTGGGTCATCTTTTGTGGCTTTTCCCAGGTGTTAGCAGGAAGCTGGATTGGAAGTGGAGCAGCTGGGACTAGAACTTGCACCTATATGGGATACTGGCATCATAGACTGTAGATTTACAACACCAGGCCCAAGGTCTATATTCAAAAGGAAAAACACTCAATGATATGATTGTACCTTTTTAAAAATTTATTAATGCATAAAGAATGTGGGTTTCTTCACTTCTGTAGTGACTTTTTCGTTGCCTGTTCTGCCCGGCCAGCGTGGGTAAAGGAACTGAATCTGTGTTCTCCATGTAGATGGCAGGAAAACTGGAACAATCACTGCTGCCTCTTGGGGTCTGAGTGGCAGGCAGGTGTGGTCAGGAGCCCAGCCAGGTGTTGAACCCCGGGGCCTCTGATGTGGGCCTCTTAACTGCTAGGCTGAATTGTCCTGTGCTTGTGTTTTTAAAGTAGAAAGTAAAGTACCTTACAGAGGAGTGAACAAGAAGTGTGTAAGACAACACAGAACCAACTTTGTCACTAGCGCCATCGTTAACTTTGAGTACCTGTTGTGTTCCTGTGGCTGTTGTCTCAAGGTCATTGTGCTGAACTTAGGCAACCTGGCATCCAGGTACTGGATGGAAGTCATTCTAGCTGTCTTAGGACTGATTTTTCCTGTGTGGAGTTCAGGATGGTGGCCCCACCTCACCTGGCTGAGGTGCAGGGTGACGTCTGGAAAGCTCTTGGAAGAGTTGAGGATGGTCAGCAGGTGTTTTCTTAGAGTCCTTGGATTCAGTAAGGAACTTGTCATTTGTAAATGAGGGGCTTTCATGGGACTGGCGGTGTGGCATAGCAGGTAACGCCGCCGCCTTCAGTGCTGGCATCCCATATGAGTGCCAGTTCGAGTCCCAGCTGCTCCACTTTGATCCAGCTCTCTGCTATGGCCTGGGAAAACAGTACACGATTGCCCAAGTCCTTGGGCCCCTGCACCCACATGGGAGACCCTGAGGAAGCTCCTGGCTCCTGCCTTCAGACTGATGCAGCTCCAGCAGTTGCCGGCATCTGGGGAGTGGACCAGTGGATGGAAGACCTCTCTCTCTCTCCTCTCCTCTCTGTAAAACTGCCTTTGAAATAAATCAATAAATAAATAAATAATTTTCAAATAAAGGCATAACTTTTTTTTTTTTTTTAAGATTTTCTTTTTTTTCTTTTTTTTTTTGAAACTCAGAGTTACACATAGGGAGGGAAGGTGGGAGGGAGGTCTCCCATCTGCTGGTTCACTCACTCCCCAGACGACCTCAATGTCCTCTAATTAATAATTTTTCAAATCTTTTATGCACAAATTTGCTTCTGGGTTTCTTGTTCTCTAAAGTTATGTTTCTATATCCAACAAAATACCTAGCTTTGGATGTTTTTCATGTTTATGTGTAACAGTGTTTATGTGTAACAGTGAACAGATTAATCTTCTCTGGTTTGTGAAATGCATAAACACTGCTGGCTTGTTAAGTGATGGGAAAATAAATTGAGGTTTTCTTCTAAAGTGTAAATTGACTTTTCCCCCTCAGCTGATGTAAGCAATGGTACAGTAAAGAAAGAGTCTTCTAACAAAGAAGTAGCAAGAATCTGGATAAATGACATGAAAATGAGGAGTTTTTCCCCAACTATGGTAAGTTTCAAATAACTAACTTGTTTTTGTATCTTAGGAAAGTATACTAATTGACAACTACTCTAGAACATCCTTCAGAAAAATTTCCTTGTGTGAAGGGGGTTACTCCTAAAGACTAGTAAGTAAGCTTAAACTTCAGTAGAGTTGTTTATTATTTATTTGACAGGTAGAGTTATAGGCAGTGAGAGAGGGAGACAGAGAGAAAGGTCTTCCTTCCGTTGGTTCACTCCCCAAATGGCTACTATGGCCGGCGCTGCACCGATCCGAAGCCAGGAGCCAGGTGCTTCCACCTGGTCTCCCATACAGGAGCAGGGCCCAAGCACTTGGGCCATCCTCCACTGCCCTCCCGGGCCACAGCAGAGAACTGGACTGGAAGAGGGGCAACCGGGACAGAATCCGGCGCCCATATGGGATGCCGGCACCACAGGTGGAGGATTAACCAAGAGAGCCACGGCGCCGGCCGTAGAGTTAATACCTATTAAGCAGGGTAATTAAAACTTTTTTTTTCTTTTTGAAAGATTTACTTATTTGAGAAGCTCTAGAGTTAGGGTGAGACAGAGAAATCTTTTATCTGCTGATTCACTCCCTAAATGGCTACAGTGGCTGGAACTAGTCCAGGCTAAAGCCAGACTGGGCCTCCCTTGTGGATGGCAAGGGACGAAGCACTTGGGCCATCTTTTCCTGCTCTACCAGGCACATCAACAGTGAGCTGGATCAGAAGCGGAGCAGCCGGGACTTCAACCATTGCCCATGTGGGATGCCAGCACTGCAGGCTTTACCTGCTGACCCATCAGATTTGCTTAGCTATCTATCTAATGTATCTGAAAGAGTTACAAAGAGAGAGAAGGAGAGGCAGAGGGAGAGAGGTCTTTGATTCGCTGGCTCACTCCCCAGTTGGCTGCAACTGCCAGAGCTGTTCTGATCTGAAGCCAGGAGCTTTCTCAGGGTCTCCCAGATGGGTGCAGGGGCCCAGGCATTTGGGCCATCCTCTACAGCTTTTCCAGGCCGTTAGCAGGAGGCTGGATTAGAGGAGCAGCTGGGCTTGAACCAGTAACCCTATGGGATGGCGGCACCACAGGCACAATCTTAACTTACTATGCCATAGCATGAGTCCTGGCCCCTGAGATTTGCTCATTTTGATATGAAGTGGTGTTGCATGCAGTATTGACATCTTTTCTTTGAGTTTTACCTGATCATTGTGATAAAACACAATGTGAAAATATTGGATCACCGTGAAGGTTCTTCAAAATGTTAGTGGAAGACAACCTTGATTTTTTTTTTTTCCAACAGATTTTGCACTGAAGCATCTGAAATAAATCCTTAGTGTTGAGGAAATACTGGATCTTAGTGCTCAGGGTTTAAGGAAATATAGTGATAAATGTAACCGTAACTTACCATTGGCGAGGCTAGTAACTAGAATTAGCTGCCTCCTGATACCATTTTGAATAAAGGCAGTTTAATTGCTTTAGAATCCATAGTCAAATGTATAAATGGTATAGTTAAAGTATTTCCAGGATGTAAGATTTGATTTAGAGATTTTCTCCTAAGGTCTATGTTACAGCTAAAGTTATTAGAGGCGCGCCGCGGCTCACTAGGCTAATGCTCCGCCTGCGGCGCCAGCACACTGGGTTCTAATCCCGGTCGGGGCGCCAGATTCTGTCCCCGATGCCCCTCTTCCAGGCCAGCTCTCTGCTGTGGCCCGGGAGTGCAGTGGAGGATGGCCCAAGTGCTTGGGTCCTGCACCTGCATGGGAGACCGGGAAGAAGCACCTGGCTCCTGGCTTTGGATCGGCGTAGCACTGGCTATAGCAGCCATTCGGGGAGTGAACCAGTGGATGGAAGACTGAAACTGGATCCCATATGGGGTGCCAGCTCCGCAGGTGGCAACTTTACCTGCTATGCCACAGTGCTGGCCCCACACTCAGAGAAGCCTCTGGTAGCAGAGAGGCCAGCTGTCGATTCAGGATGGGTGGGGAGAGGAAGATCAGAGAGCGGGTTAGCGATCTAAGGGGAGGTAGATAGGGATACAAATACGGGGATTCTGAGATCAGGAACCGGTGAGGAGAAAGGGAGAGAAACGATGCTGGCATGTGAAAGTGCCACAGGCAGTTTGAGGGGATGGAGCTGGGCCTGCAGTTCTGGTGGGTGGTACCAACAGTTCCTGGAAGTTGACTTGGAAACTGAAAATTCCGTTTTCTTTAAGCCATTTAACAGTTTGCCCATAATAAACCCAAAGATTTGCTATTAGCGTCACAATTAAGAAACATCTAACAGATTGCAAACTGGTATCCTGTGGAGCATAACTCGTTGGCAGATGTGTTTTATTTGGCCTCTGGAGTATTTTGAAGAATTCTGAATTTGTTGCTGACAAAAAAATTCTAATTTTCAAGTTCCCTTATAAGATAGGAATACCTGACCACCCTGTGCCCACCTTCTCCACTTACTATGTTTTCTGTAGTTGGATCGTGAGTATGTGCTGTGTTGGGTATCATTTTTTAGGAACCGAAGTTTTCCTCACCCCAAATAATCTTTGATATCAGCTGCCCTCCCCACCACATCCACCTGGCATAGAAATATCGCTTGTGGAGTGAATTTGTCCAAGTGGTTGAGATGGCAGCTTGGGGTCTGTGCATGCCCTGACTGAGTGCCGGGCTCCACTCTGTTCCCAGTCTCGCTTCCTGCTAATGTGCACCGAGGGAGGCAGCAGGTGATGCCTCTCAAATAAATAAATACATGTTATTTGTCCAGCCCCAGATTTTGTGGCCTTTCAGTATTACCAACTGTTTCCAAATATACTCCAGTAATTTTTTTTTTTAAAGACAAAGTTATTTGAAAGATCTTTCATCTACTGATTCACTCTGCAGATAGTCCCAGGGATCAGGTGGGTCAGGCCCAAGTTGGGAGCTGGATACACAATCTACACAATAATCTCTGCCATGGGTGGAAGGAACCCAGTTATTGGAGCTGTTGCCGCTGCCTCCAGTACCTGCGTTAGCAGGAAGTTGGATTGAGAGCAGGAGCTGGGGAGCAGGCCTGGTGCACTGCTGTGGGACACGGCTGTCCTAACCACTAGGATAAATGTGTGCTTCTCATTGGCAGCTTTTTTTTTTTTTCTACAGGCAGGGTGGACAGTGAGAGAGAGAGACAGAGAGAAAGGTCTTCCTTTGCCGTTGGTTCACCCTCCATTGGCCGCCGCGGCTGGCACACTACGGCCAGTGTACTGCGGCTAGGCACCGCGCTGATCCGATGGCAGGAGCCAGGTGCTTCTCCTGGTCTCCCATGGGGTGCAGGGCCCAAGCACTTGGGCCATCCTCCATTGCACTCCCGGACCACAGAAGAGAGCTGGCCTGGAAGAGGGGCAACCGGGACAGAATCCAGCGCCCCGACCGGGACTAGAACCCGGTGTGCCGGCGCCACAAGGCGGAGGATTAGCCTAGTGAGCTGCGGCGCCGGCTTTTTTCTTTTATCTTAATTTCCATGCGTTTATTTTCAGATGTGAGAAAGAGAAATCTCCCATTCACCTGATTCACTCGCCAAAGGCACACAAAAGCTGAGGTTGGGCCAGGCTGGAGGTAGAAGCTGGGAACACTGCCTCTTCCATTGATGGCAGGGACCCGAGTACTTGAGACATCACCTGCTGCATCTAAGGATGCATTTTATGTATAAAAAAATATTTATTTATTGGTTTGAAAGAGAAAGGGGTCTTTTATTCACTGGTTCACTCCCTGAATGACTGTAGCAGCCAGGGCCGAGACACACTGAAGCCAAAGCCAGGAGGAATTCCATCCCGATCTTTTGGGGTGCAAGGGCCCAGGTAATTGGGCCACTTTCTACTGCCTTCCGAGACACATTAGCAGGAAGCTGAATTGAAAGCAGAGCATTCAGATATGAGATGCTGGCATCACAAATTGTGTCTTTTTTTTTTCTTACGATGTATTTATTTATTTGAAAGTCAGTGTTACACAGAGAGAAGGAGAGGCAGAGAACGAGAGAGAGAGAGGTCTTCCATCTGCTGGTTCACTCCCCAGATGGCCACAATGGCCAGAGCTGTGCTCACCTGAAGCCAGGAGCCAGGAGTTTCTTCTGGGTCTCCCATGTGGGTGCAGGGGCCCAGGACTTGCCATCTTCCACTGCTTTCCCAGGCCATAGCAGAGAGCTGGATGGGAAGTGGGGCACCTGGGACTTGTGCTGGTGCCCATATGGGATGTCGGCACTGCAGGCGGTGGCTTTACCTGCTGTGTCACAGCACCGTTCCCTCAGTGCACTGTAGCAGGAAGTTGGAACTGGGAGCAGAGATAGAACGCAAATGCAGACACTTCAGCATGGGACGCGGGGACCTCAGTCAGCACCCTAACCCATTAGTGGACACCTGTCTCCCATTGCCATGACAAAATCAACTGTGTTTTCCTCCTCCTCTGCTGTTCTGGCTTTCAGCGTAGCTTCAGTGTACTTGTACCCCGTTAAGGTTCTGTGGAAAAGGACAAGGGAACGTTAACTGTGGTGACTGTTCACTTGCTTTCAGGGGACGGTCTTGCTTTACTCCTGTTTTCTTGGTGCAATTGATAATAGCTCCCATTTGCGAATCTCCATTGTGCCAGTGTTTGGAGAGGAAATTGTCAGGTCATCCGTGTGACTGCTGGTCTGTGGAGACATAAACATCTGAGGAAATTCTTTACTCAGAGCAGCTTTTAGGCTTCAGTGTTGTGGGTTTTGGTTTTAGAATCTGAGGTAAGAATGCAGGTGGAGCTTAACTGAAACAACTGCTCTGATAGTGTAGACGATGCTAAGGCTGCCAGCCCCTGTCCCCTGCACCCTTGCTCTTTCCTAGTCCTGGAGGTGGGATGAAGAAAATGATTGACGTGGGGAGAGAGAAGGTTCGGAGTGGGGGTTGTGGGCAGTGCTGAAAGGAAATTAGTTTTAGGTGGTGTGAGTGGAAGACCAAGGGGCGGAGCCGGCTGTCATTGTGCATGTTTACCACTGGAGGGGCAGGCCAGTCACCAGGTGGGAGCTAGATGGCAGAGTTAAAGAGGGGCACATTGTGGGTTTTGTTGTTTTGTTTTGTTTTGACAGGTAGAGTTATAGACGTAGACAGAGAGAAAGGTCTTCCTTCCATTGGTTCACTCCCCTAATGGTCGCCATGGCTGGCACATCACGCTGATCCAAAGCCAGGACCCAGGTGTTTCTCCTGGTCTCCCATGTGGGTGCAGGGTCCAAGCACTTGGGCCATCCTCCACTGCCTTCCCTGGCCACAGCAGAGAGCTGGACTGGGAGAGGAGCAACCGGGACAGAATCCAGCACCCATATGGGGTGCCGGTGCTGCAGGCAGAGGATTAACCAAGTGAGCCATGGCACCGGCCTGGGCACATTGTGTTTTTAAGAGTTATTTATTCATTCGAAAGAGTTACATAGATTTTCCATCTACTGGTTCACTCTCCAGATGGCCACAACTGTCAAGCCTTGGCCAAGCCAGAGCCATTGGAGCTAGAGCTCCATCCAGGTCATCCATGTGGGTGGCAGGGTCCCAGATACTTGGGCCAGCTTCCACTGCTTTTCCCAGGCCATGAGCAGGGCTCGGTTGGAAGCAGAGCAGCCAGGACTGGAACTGTCACCCTTATGGGATACTGGTGTTGCAAGCGGCGGTCTCACCCACTGTGACACAGTACCAGCCCGGAGGTTGTAGTTTTACAGAAGTCTTCTTGTGTGTTGGCCAGGTCTGCTGACTCTGGAGTTGGATTGATTGTACTTTTTCTCTGTTGCAGAAGGTCCCTGTTGTAAAGGAGGATGATGAGCCCGAGGAAGAGGATGAAGAAGAAATGGGTCATGCCGAGACCTATGCAGAATATATGCCTATAAAATGTATGTCTCAGGGAATGATCAAATGAGCAAAAGATTTCCCAGTGCCTCTTGAACTTAACTCCTCCCTATACTGTTAGCTGATTTTTTTTTTTTTTTAATTTGAAATACAGAGTTATTGAGATAAAGGGAGAGAGTGGTATTCCATACAATGATTGACTCCCTAGGTCTCTGCAGTAGTCAGGGCTGGGCCTGGCTGAAACCAGGAGCACGGGACTCATTATGGGTCTCCCATGCTAGTAATTGCCCAAGGACTTGGGCTATCTTCTGCTGCTTTCTCAGGTGCATTAGGGAGGGGCTGGATTAGAAACAGAACAGCCCTGAGCTTGAACTGGCACTTGATGTTGGATGCCAGTGTTGTAAGCGCTGGCTTAACCCACTGGCCTACAACACTGACCCCAGTAATAATACCTCTTATATATTTATTTATTAAGATTTATTTTTATTTATTTGAAAGCCAGTTTTAGAGATAGAGACCGGGGGTGGGTCGGTCTTCTATTTGCCAGTTCACTCCCCAAACGGCTGCAACAGCTGGAGCTGAGCCAATCCAAAGCCAGGAGCTAGGGACTTTTTCCAGGTCTCCAATGCACAGGGGCCCAAGGACTTGGGCCATCTTTTGCTGCTTTCCCAGGCATATTAGGGAACTGGATCTGAAGTGGAGAAGCCAAGACTCAAACTGGTGCCCCTGTGGGATGCTGGCACTACTTGCCAGAGCCTTAATCCACTGCACTATAGTGCTGACCCCAAATAACACTTTTTTTTTTTTTTTTTTTTTTTTAAGATTGGTTTATTTATTTGCAAGTCCAAGGGTTAAACAGAGAGAAGGAGAGGCTAAGAAACAGAGGTCTTTCGTCTGCTGGTTCACTCCCCATATGGCCACAATGGCCAGAGCTGCGCCGATCTGAAGCCAGGAGCCAGGAGCTTTTTCTGGGTCTCCCACACAGGTGCAGGGGCCCAAGGACTTGGGCCATCTTCCACTGCTTTCTCAGGCCATAGCAGAGAGCCGGATCGGACGTGGAGCGCCAGGACTTGAATTGGCGCCCATATGGGATCCCAGCACTGCAGGCAGTGGCTTTCCCCGCTATGTGACAGCACCGGCCCCAATGAAACCTTTTAAATTAAACCGAAGTACGGTGTTTAACAACTACATATGAACCTCTAAATCCTTTTCTTTTCTAATCATTTAAAGTAAGTTTTAGGAGCCAGCATTGTGGTGCAGTGGTTTAAGTTATAGCCTCCGACGTCAACATACCATAAGAGCTCCGAATGGAGTCCAGGCTGCTCCACTTCTGATCCAGCTCCCTGCTGCTGCACCTGGGAAAGCAGCAGAAGATGACCCAAGTGCTTGGGTCGATGCCAACCATATAGGAGACCTACATGGATTTCCCAGGCTGCAGCCTGACCCCGCCTGGGCCATTGTGGCCATTTCCGGAGTGAACCAGTGGAAGGAAGGTCTCTCTTTTTCTCTGTAACTCTGCCTTTCATATAAATCTTATAAAAAAGTAAAATGTGTTTTATGTTGGTATCTAAATTCCTCTCACCCCAACTCCTCCCAAAGATTCAGTTTATCCATGACCCTTTAAATCTGATTTCCTCAAAATAAGTCTCAAAAATGATGTTTTAGTAGATATAGTTTTGTTAGAATGTAGGCATGTTCATTGTAGGTATAGTTTTGTTAGAATGTAGGCATGTTCATTGGTTTCCTTACTGCTTTTGGCAGCTTTTACACCATCTACAGCAGCAGGTGAAGTGGTTCTAAGAGACTGGATGGCTAAAAAGTTAGAAGCGTTACTGTCTGACCCTTAACAGAAGACGTGTGTGGGTCACTACACATAGCATATTTGGAGGCAGTAGTTGCTGCTTAGTTTTATAGCCAAACTTTCCTTGCAGAGTACTTAATTGTTTGACTAAATAATGTGAAGTTAACCTCCCTAGAATAGTGTTATGTTCTGTTACTACTGGAGAATGTCATGTTAACTAAGATGGTTTTATTCTAGATCTTTTTATCAAATCTCTAAGCCAAATATAGTAGAACGATAATGTTTTCTCTGACAAAGAATATTGTAGTGTATTATAAAACGGAAATGTTATTACTTAAGTAATTACAATGAAGTGCTTTAAAATTTTCATTTAGTGAAAATTGGCCTACGTCACCCAGATGCTGTAGTGGAAACTAGCTCTTTATCCAGTGTTACTCCTCCTGATGTTTGGTACAAAACATCTATTTCTGAAGAAACTATCGACAATGGCTGGTTGTCAGCATTACAGCTTGAGGCGGTCACATATGCTGCTCAGGTAAGTAGTAATAATATGGGAGTTACACACATTGTTTATCTTTCCCTCATAGTGTCTGTTACATAGTTGTTTGACCTAGTGGTACGTTTTTATTTATTTATTTATTTTTATTTTAATTTTGACAGGCAGAGTTAGAGAGGCAGAGAGAAAGGTCCTCCCTCCGATGGTTCACCCCCCCAAATGGCTGCCATGGCCAGCGCTGCGCCGATCTGAAGCCAGGAGCCAGGTGCTTCCCTTGTCTCCCATGTGGGTGCAGGGCCCAGGCTCTTGGGCCATCCTCCACAGCCCTCCCGGGCCACAGCAGAGAGCTGGACTGGAAGAGGAGCAACTGGGACTAGAACCTGGCGCCCATATGGGATGCTGGCGCCACAAGGCGGAGGATTAACCAAGTGAGCCACGGCGCCAGCCCCACATTTTTATTTTATGAACAACATATAAATGTGACTTTTATAGCAGTCACATTCTTGTTTACTTTCTCTTTTTTTAAACATTTATTTATTTAATTAACAGGCATAGTCAAAGAGAGAAAAAGAGGTTTTCCAAACGCTGGTTCACTCCCCAAATGGCCGCAATGGCCTGAGCTTGGCCGATCTGATGCCAGGAGCCAAGAGTTGCTTCTGGGTCTCCCACGCGGGTGTAGGGGCCCAGGCAATTGGTCCATCTTGTACTGCTTTCCCAGGCCATAGCAGAGAGCTGGTTTGGAAGAGGAGCAGCTGGGACATGAACTGGCAACCATATGGGATGCCAACGCTGTAGGTGGAGGCTTGGCCTACTATGCCACTGTGCTGGCCACTGTTTTTGTTTTGCTAAGATCTGTTTATTAATTTGGAAGAGTTAAGAGAACTTCCATCTGCTGATTTACTAACTAAATGGCTGCAACAGCTGGGGCTTTAGCACTCTAAAGCAGGCATCTAGAGCTTAATCCAGGTCTCCCACATGGGTGCGGAATCCCAAGCAATTGGGCTGTTTCCCACTGCTTTCTTAGGCATGCCAGGAGGGAGCTGGTTCAGAAGTGGAGCAACTGAAACTTGACCCAACGTACATATGGGATTGCCGGCATCACTCATCCCTCTAGGAAGTGTCACATGTTAGAAATTTTAAGGTATAGCAATGATAGGAGGGAGTGCAAATGAAAATGTCTTAACCTTTTTGGAGCTTCTAGGAATAACTTAAAAATGTTTATATGCCCTTTGACATATTTAATTCATAGGATTCTGTTCAATAGATAATGCATGCAACACACACAAGTGACTGTTTGTTGGAAACATTTTGAGTGCAGCTGCGCTCTGGGGTGGTGATTGAATATACTAGAATTACCAGAGCAGAGCTGTTGTTTGGTCTGAGACGGTATCAGTCAGTCATGCATGTTGTCATGAAGGGATTCTGGTGACACAGTGAAGTACATAATGTCCGAAGTAGCCAGCTGTCCATCATATTTATGGGTGGTGTAAAAGTGTGTATTTGATTATGCAATTTTTGGAATGGATGTGAGGTAATCCTAATTTAACTTTATAGTTACATGGTATATGGAATGTAACAGGAAAGAATATGGTAAATCAACAGTATCTGCTAAAAAGTTAAATTTTATGTCATTTATGTAGAAATAGATATGTATTTCTAAAACTCTGAAAGATTAATTGCCAGACTGTCCGAAGGATTAATCACCCACTTGATCTTTTTCAGCAACATGAAACGTTCCTGCCCAATGGAGACCGTGCCGGCTTCTTGATAGGTGATGGTGCCGGGGTAGGCAAAGGACGGACGATAGCAGGCATCATCTATGAGAACTACCTGCTGAGCAGGAAGAGGGCCCTCTGGTAAGCATGCAAGCCGTGGGGAAGGGTTTGCTTTTGAATTACTCAGCATGTGGCATTCGATTTTTATCAGTAAGCTTTTTTTTTTTTTTTTTTTTTTAAAGACTTATTTATTTGAAAGGCAGAGTTACAGAGAGGCAGAGAGAGAGAGATTCCATCCTCTGGTTCACTTCCCAGATGGCTTCAATGGCTGGAGCTGGGCTGATCCGAAGCCAGGAGCTTCTTCCAGGTCTCCTACAAGGGTGCAGGGGCCCAAGGACTTGGGCCATCTTCACTACTTTCCCAGGCTGCAGCAGAGAGCTGGATCAGAAATGGAGCAGCCGGACTCAAACCGGCACCCATATGGGATGCCAGCACTGCGGGCGGTGGCTTTACCAGTTATGCCACAATGCTGGCCCCAAGTAAGTTATTTTTTTAAAAGATTTTTGTTCGGGAGCAGGCGTGGCATAGTAGGTTAGCTTCCACCTAGTGCTGGCATGCCATGTGAGTTCTAGTTCAAGTACAGGCTGCTCCACTTCGGATCCAGCTCTCTGCTAATGTGTCTGAGAAAGCAGCAGAAGATGGCCCAAGTACTTGGATCCCTGCACTCATGAGGGAGACCAGGATGAAACTTTGAAAGGCAAAGTTACAGAGAGAGGGAGCGACAGATATCTGAACATGTGTTGGTTCACTTTCCAAATAGCTGCAACAGCCCTGCCTGGGCCAGGCCAAAGCCAGGAGCCTGCAACTCTCATTTGGGTCTCCTACATGGGTACAAGGGCCCAAGCACTTGGGCCATTGTCTGCTGCTTTTCCACGTTCATTAGCCGGGAACTGGATAGGCAGTGGAGTAGCTGGGATTCGAACTGATGCCCATATTTGATAGAGCCATTGGAAGTGGAGGCTTAACCTGCTACACCACAGCAGTAGCACACAGGTTATTGTTACTTTTAAAGTGTCTGTCAGACCTGACATTATTTTATGTATTTCTTTTTTTTGTTGCAGGTTTAGTGTTTCAAATGATTTAAAGTATGATGCTGAAAGAGATTTGAGGGATATTGGAGCAAAAAACATTTTGGTCCATTCATTGAATAAGGTATGAAAACTTTGGTTATTCATTAAATGAATACTCATGAGTATTCAGTAAATATTTACCTGTAACTACTTTGTAGTTAGGATTCGATGAGTTACTCCACAGAGAGCCTGATGATTGCTACTCGTAATTATTGTGGCTGGTTTCTGAAGTACCATTCCAGGTAGTGAATTTGTGGTGGCAAACAAATAGACATTGTCCCTTTTGTGGAATTTTTTCCCTGAATTTTCAATGTTATTTTTGTCCTGTATCTGGCCATAGCGCCAACCTATGGAGTAACTCTTTCAGAAAGGCATGGCAACAGAAGAGACAGGTCTTCCGTCTGCTGGTTCCCCGGATGCCTGCAGCAGCCAGGGCGGGGTCATGTCAGATGGAACCCAAGGGTCTGGAACTTCGTCCTTGACTCTTGGGTGCTAGCAGGGACCCAGGTACTTGGCAGAAATGTGCTTTCCGGATGCATCAGCAGGAAGCTGCATCAGAAGGCAAATAGCTGGGATTCGACGTCGCGGTATGTCGTCACTCAAGTGGTGGCTGCACCGCTGCGGTGACTCCTCTGGGGTAATTTTATCTGATGAGCATCCGAGGACCGTGTAGAGGAGCAGTGTGCCTGTTGAAGGCCAACGAATCCTGTGTGGCACGCAGGGACGGCTGTGCTTAGACTGGTAGCAGTGACTGTGTAGCTAGCAGGCTTGACCTGCACCTGTGAAGACATTTTGTCAAGTGGAGCTAAACGTGTGTCAGTGTCTGAGAAACAGCTGCATGTGATTAGAATTTTAAACTAATTCAGCGAATCTTTATTAACTTCCTGTACAGCAGTTGTTGGCGTTATGAGGGCAGACTGGGCAGTGTATGGTTCCTGCGGGTGCCTCCCTTGCAGCCAGGCTTCCTGATCCTGAGCTGGTTCATGTCGCCCTGCTCACTTGTGGCTGGTGTGGGTCGGTTTTACTGAGGGCTCGGTAATTAAATAACTAGATCTTGGGTAATTATAAGTAGTTTATTTTATTTTAATTTTTTAAAATTTATTTATTTATATGAAAGAGTTACATAGAGAGAGGAGGAGAGGCAGAGAGAGAGAGGTCTTCAGTCTGCTGGTTCACTCCCCAGTTGGCTGCAATGGCCGGAGTTAAGCCAATCTGAAGCCAGGAGCTTCTTCCAGGTCTCCCACATGGGTGTAGGGGCCCAAACACTTGGGCCATTTTCTGCTGCTTTCCCAGGCCATAGCATAGAACTGGATCGGAAGTGGAGTAGCCAGGACACAAACCAACGCCCATATGGGATGTTGGCACTGCAGGCAGCGGCGGCGGCTTTACCCACTATGCCACAGCGCCAGCCCCTATAAGCAGTTTAAACCTAAAATGTGTAATGGGAATCTGCAAATGTTTTTGATTTCTCAGTAATGTAATTGAAGAAGGTCATCTTTATAATTACTTATATTTTGCATCCCTCCAAACTTTATCACAGTGTTTTGTATGATATTGGTATAATCAATATTATAACCTTTATTCTTACAGAAGAGTGGGTGTTTTATTTATTTATTTTGTGATACTTTTTGGAGCTTTGGTGAACACTGGATCCTTGTACCATAAAGATGCAGGGATCTGTGTATGTGTATAACATAGTTGCCAACGGCTCTTGTTTTTTTCTTTTTTCAAGACTTGTTTATTTGAAAGAGTTACAAAGAGAGAGGGAGAGACGTAGAGCCAGGAGTTTATTCCAGCTTTCACATGAGGGTGGCAGGGACCAAAACACCTGAGCCATCTTCTGATGCTTTTCCCAGGCCATTAGCAGGCACTGGATCACAAGTGGAGCAGCTGGAACATGCGTTGGCACCCAAATGGGGTGTCGGTGTTGCAGGCTGTGCCTTTACCAACTATACCACAACGCCATACTCTAGGCAAGAAGTTTTTGGTAAGAAGTAGTTCTGACCTTTCTGAAGCCTGTCATGCCACCACCAGGTTTAGAAATCCTTTTGTAACTGTTTGGTTCGGATGTTTTAGAAAGGTATGCTAATTAAATTCCTTTTTTTTTTTTTCCAGTTTAAATATGGGAAAATTTCTTCCAAGCATAATGGGAGTGTGAAAAAGGGTGTTATTTTTGCCACATATTCTTCTCTTATTGGTGAAAGCCAATCTGGTGGTAAATATAAAACAAGGTTAAAACAACTTCTACATTGGTGTGGCGATGACTTCGATGGAGTTGTATCCTTTATGACAAATGTTTTTGATGCTCGATAGAGCTGTGCAAGGATAGACGTTTATTAAACGAGTTCTGAGATTGAATGAATAAATTGCTCAGATGAGAGCTTTAATGAGTATGTAGCATCCCAGAGCCTTACACAGTTGATAGGCTCCTAGTTTAGGAAGATGTTAATTGGTATTAAGAATAATACCTATTATTCTTGGGGATTCACAGTGCATATTTAACTCCCTGAAAAGATTCAGGGAAATAGAACTGATGCCGTTGTAATTCCCAGACTTGTGGTCACAGCGTATCTTATGCCGTCTGGCATGAGGCACGCTGATATCTGAAATGCTGGTTAAGTTGGTTACCAGTCATGCATCTCCCTAATCTGTGGTGAAGACAGATTGTGTGGTAGCTGCAGTGGGTCCTTTCACACATGCTGATCAAGAATTAAGTATCTGGCCAAGATAAATATTAAGTTTAAGGGATACCTCTGTGACTAGAAGGGTGAAATAGAGGTATTTAGAGGGTCCTTCTAATTAATAAATAAATACTTTTGCTTGTTTGAAAAGCAGAGACAGAGCTCTTCCATCTGCTAGCTCATTTCCCAAGTGCCTACCAACAGCTGCTTGAGCAGTCACCTGCTACCTTCCAGGATGTGTATTAGCAAGAAGCTGGAATCAAAAATGGAGCCAGAATGGAGCCTAGGCATTCTGATCATGGGATGCAGGCGTCCTACATGGCGTCTTAACCACTGCAGCAGACACCTGGCCCCACGTGTGTAATCTTAAAGAAAATCTGAAGGCTTTAGGGAAATCAACGCTAACTCTTTATGAAGGATTAGTGACACTAGTAATGTGATGTGTTCCTTAATTCATTTCTTACAGATAGTCTTTGATGAGTGTCATAAAGCAAAAAACTTATGTCCCGTTGGTTCTTCGAAACCAACCAAGACAGGCTTAGCAGTTTTAGAGCTGCAGAACAAATTGCCAAAAGCCAGAGTTGTTTATGCTAGTGCCACTGGTGAGTAGTTACTTACTTTAAAAGCTTTGAGTTATTCACTGCTTCAGCTATAATATGTTTTATTTGGGGATTTTTCAGGTGCTTCTGAACCACGTAACATGGCCTATATGAACCGTCTTGGAATCTGGGGTGAGGGGACACCATTTAGAGAATTCAGTGATTTTATTCAAGCAGTGGAAAGAAGGTAATGCAGTTTATGGTATATACAGAGGGTCTTCATAAAGTACGTGGAAATGTGTATTGTGAAAAAAGCTTGTGCATAACTTCCATTTTGACTATGGCCTTGTCTAAATAAGGTCGGAGTTTGTGAACTCAAGAGGCTTCCATAGCTTTGGCAGCTCATGACAAGAGCCACGGGTGATCACTGATGTCATGAATAAGATCGTCAGTTGTTAAATCAATAACAGGAGTTACAGTGCACTTACTCCCCAAGTAGGATCTCTGTCCTTAATGTGTTCTACTATGCAAATTAACAATAAAACTAGTATTCAAACAGTACTTTATACTTTGTGTGTCTGTGGGTGCAATCTGTTGAAATCTTTACTTAGTATATACTAAGTGGATCTTCTGTATATAAAGATAATTAAAAATGAATCTTAATGAAGAATGGGATGGAGAGGGAGTAGGAGATGGAATTGTTTGCGGTTGCTTATGGGGGAGAAAACGGCTATAATCCAAAAGTTGTACTTTTGAAATTTATATTTATTAAATAAAAGTTTTCTTAAAAAAAAAGCTTACGCATGAGTACCAAATTTTTTGCACCAAAATGGAGTTAACTGCTGATTCCATCTGTCTGAAGTACTGTCCTCAGTAGCAGTGTAAAGCGCGTGTTATTGTGAAAACCCCTTCACCTCGTGTTGCAGTCTTTATTGATAGTTACTGTGTGTTTCAATTTTGTTCAGAGGCGTGGGTGCCATGGAAATAGTTGCTATGGATATGAAGCTTCGAGGCATGTACATTGCTCGACAGCTGAGCTTTACTGGAGTGACCTTCAAAATTGAGGAAGTTCTTCTTTCTCAGAGCTATGTTAAAATGTATAACAAAGCAGTCAAGCTGGTGAGAAATCTTTCTTCCTATCTGGTGTTTACTTAATGTACCTAATAATGTTTTGTCCACTGTAATGTCTGCCAGCGAATCAGAATTTTTTGTAGTCTGAAACAATATATAAATTACCACGTGATAAGCTGTTTAATCCAAACCCTTATTTTTCAAGTTCTTTTTTTGTTAAAGCAATTCATAAAAAGTAGCCATTGATCTCAGATGTGTAGTTTTCTTTTTTCTTTATTTATTTGAATGACAGAATTAGAGAGGTAGAGACATAGAGCAAGAGAGAGAGGTCTTCCATTCACTGATTCACTCCCCAAATGGACGGAACGATCAGAGCTGTGCCGATCCAAAGCCAGGAGCTTCTTCTAGGTCACCCATGTGGGCGCAGGGGCCCAAGGGTTTGGGGTGCCCTCCACTGCTTTCCCAGGCACGTTAGTAGGGTGCTGGATCGAAAGTGCAGCATCTGGGACTCGAACTGGCACCCATATGGGATGCTGGTGCTGCATGCTGGGGCTTTAACCTCTTGCTCCACAGCACCCACCCCAGTTGCACAATATAATTGTGCTCAAATTATCTAAAATTACTATCTAAGGAAATAAAAATTTTGAGACAACTCTGTGAGGATCCTAAAAAAACCCTACTGTTTAAGAGATTACAGAAGTAACTGATTACAGAAGTAAATGATTATTTTATTTTTATTTTTAAAGTTTTGTATATGTATTTGAAAGACAGAGTTAGAGGTCATCGTCTTATCTGCTGGTTAACTCCCCAGATTGCCACAACACCTGGGGCTTGGCCAGGCTGAATCTGGGAGAATACCTTCTAGGTCTCCCCTGTGGGTGGCACGGGTCCAAGTACTTTGGTCTGCTCCTGCTGCTCTCCCAGGCCTATTAGCAGGGAGTTGGATTGGAAGCAGAACAGCTAAACAACTGGATTCCAGCCAGTGTCTCATATAGGGCACTCTGATAAAGGATGCCGGCTTGCAAGCAGTGGCTTGACACTCGATGCCATAGTGCCAGCAGAGTGACAGAGAAAGAAGGAGAGACACAGAGAGATCTTAGCATGTGTTGGTTCATTTCTTAAATGGTTGTAATGGCCACGGGTAGGAGCCTGCATAACTCCATCTGGGTCTCCCTCTTGGGTGGCAACAGCCCCAGCACTTGGGCCATCATCTGCTGCTTTCTCGGCACATTAGTGGGGAGCTGATTGGAAGCAGAGCAGCCGGGACTCCCACTTGAATCAGTCTTCAGTATGGGTTGCCTGCATCACAGGTGGCAGCTTTAGCTGCTTCAAGGCCACTCTTGCCCCTTTGGTCATTTTAAATAGTCTTGCGCTTAACATTGTTTTGACTGAATGTGTCATTTTGCAGTAACTGTGCTCAAAGATGAAATATCTACAGTGTTGATTGTGTATTTTCAGTGGGTCATTGCCAGGGAACGATTTCAGCAGGCTGCAGATCTTATTGATGCTGAGCAGCGGATGAAGAAGTCCATGTGGGGTCAGTTCTGGTCTGCTCACCAGAGGTTCTTCAAATACTTGTGCATAGCGTCCAAAGTTAAGAGGGTTGTGCAGCTAGCTCGGGAAGAAATCAAGAATGGAAAGGTAAGGTGGAGAACGTATTTAGAGAGTCATTACCTTTGATTGTTCAGTCTTTGTGGATGGTGAGGTTTTCTCCTCCTAAGTGTGGTCTTCCTAAAGGCTAGTTGTGCCTGTTAAGAGCATAATGAAGCTCAGTTGGCTGTCCACAGCCACCAGCCCTCATAATGTGAATGTGTATTGCTTTATCTTTTTTTTAATGCATATGTGTGTGTTCAGAAGACTGATGACTGTGCTTTCCTTGGGACTCAGTCATGCTTGTTGCTGTAATCCTGTTTACTGTCGGAACTGCATGTCTCAGATACACAGAGAAATAAAGCACACACAGTGGGGTTGTTATTCGAAGTCTTGGTTTTTACTAGAGAGCTAAAATGTCTTGATAAGACACAGATGTATTTTATTTGTAACCGATGTGTTTTTTTTTCTCCAGTGTGTGGTCATTGGCCTGCAGTCCACAGGAGAAGCTAGAACCTTAGAAGCCTTGGAAGAGGGCGGGGGAGAATTGAATGATTTTGTTTCAACTGCCAAGTAATGTTTTTGGTTTTCTTGAGTTTTTACTTAGATTACTTTCATGTTGACATAAACTGGAGATAAAATTTTTTGCACAATTTATTTATTTGAAAGGCAGAGGTGGAGAGAAAGGGAGATCTTACATCTGCTGGTTCATTCCCTCAGTGGCTGCAATGGCTGGTGCTGGGCCTATCCAAAGCCAGGAGCTTCTTCTGGTTCTCCCACATAAGTGCAGGGGCCCAAGACTTGGGCTCTCTTCTGCTTTCTTAGGCCATAGCAGGGAGCTGGGTCCGCATCCATATGGGATGCCTAAATTGCAGGTTGTGGCTTTACTCCCTACACTACAGCGTTGGCCCCTGGAGATAAAATTTTTGATTCACCTTTAATAGTCTTCCTGGTTGGAGTTTTTGTAGTTTTCAACTTTTCTGTAACAGTTGTATTTATTGGAAAACAACAGTACTGAATTGTTGAGCATTTATTTGAAAGTCAGTTATACAGAGAAAGAAGAGGCAGAGAGAGAGGTTGGGGCCAGTGTTGTGGTGCAGTGGGTTAAAGCCTGGGCCTGGGGTGCTAGTTCTGGTCCCGGCTGCTCCACTCCCGATACAGCTCTCTGCTATGGCCTTGGAAGGCAGTGAGGATGGCCCGGGTGCTTGGGCCCCTGCACCCATGTAGGGGACCTGGGGAATGCTCCTGGCTCCTGGCTTTGGAATGGTGCAGCTCTGGCTATTGCAGCCATCTGGGGAGTGAACCAGCGGATGGAGGACCTCTGTCTCTACCTCTCTCTGTAACTCTGCTTTCAAATAAATAAAAAATAAATCTTTTAAAAAAAGAGAGAGAGAGAGGTCTTCTGTCTGCTGGTTCACTCCCCAGTTGGCCGCAACGGCCAGAGCTGTGCCAATCCGAAGCCAGGAACCAGGAGATTCTTCCAGGTCTCCCACATGAGTGGGAGCACTTGGGCTGTCTTCCACTGCTTTCCCAGGCCATAGCAGAGAGCTGGATCGGAAGTGGAGCAGCTGGGACTTGAACTGGCGCCCATATAGGATGCTGGCACTGCAGGCAGCGGCTTTACTTGCTACTCCAAGCGCCGGCCCCAAAACCTTTTTTTTTTTTTGGAGAGACAGAGAGAAAGGTCTTCCTTCCGTTGGTTCACCCCCCCAAATGGCTGCCAAGGCCGGCGCACTGCACCAATCCGAAGCCAGGAGCCAGGTGCTTCCTCCTGGTCTCCCAAGCAGGTGCAGAGCCCAAGCACTTGGGCCATTCTCCACTGCCTTCCTGGGCCACAGCAGAGAGCTGGACTGCAAGAGGGGCAACTGGGACAGAACCAGCGCCCCAACGGGGACTAGGACCCGGGGTGACGGTGCCACAAGTGGAGGATTAGCCTAGTGAGCTGCGGTGCCAGCCAAAACTGCTTTTAAAAGCAAAACTTGGTGTATTTTTCTGTACTCAAGTGCCTGGAAACACCCTGTCCAGTACTTGTTACATGTGGCTATTTTACATTTGAAATGAGTTCAATCTGAAATGTACTTTGAGTGAAAAGTACCAGGTTTCATAGTCTCCTTAAGAAAAAATACTTCAGGTGGTTGGTGTTGTGCAGCAGGTTAAAGCAACACCAACATCGCCTGTGAGCACTAGGTCAAGTCCCAGCTGCTCTCTTCAGATCCAGCTCTCTGCTGATTTCCCTGGAGAGGCCACAGAAGATGGCCCGGGTACTTTGGCCCTGCCCACCTGTGTTGGAAATGCAAATGAAGTTCCAGCCTGCGGTCTTCGGCCTGTCCCAGCCCAGCCTTGCCTGTTGCAGCCATGGGAGTAAATCTGAAGATAGAGGATCCCCTCCCTCCCTCCCTTGTGACTGCCTTTCAAAGAAATACATAAATCCTTTTTAAAAACTTACTTTGTTTATTAGGATGGCAGAGCAACAGAGATCTTCCATGCAGTGGTTTACTTCCCAGATGTCTGCAGCAGTCAGGTTTGGGCCAGGCTGAAACCAGGAGCCAGGAGCTCCAGCCCAGTCTCCCACAGCGGAAGGGTTGTCCCAAGCTCTTGAGCCATCGTCTACTGCCCTCTCATACTCTGGCAGGGAGCTGGATCAGAAGTGGAGTAGCCAGGACTGAAACCAGCACATCAGTGTGGGATGCCTGCTGGGCCACGGTGCTGGTCCTCTTCCCCCCTCACCCCTTTTAGTTTTTACGTAATTACTAGAATATATAAAATCGTGTTTGTGGTTAAGCTTTATATTGCAATAGGATGATCTTGTTCTAGAACATTAAAATTGATTTTGAACTACATTATGTTTTCTAAGATTCAGCATTTTCTTTTTTAAAGATTGATTTTATTTGAAAGGCAGAGTTACAGAGTGGGGAAACAGAGAAATCATCCATCCGCTGGTTCACTCCCCAAATGGTCACAACAGCCAGAGCTGGGCCGATTCATAGCCAGGAGCTTCTTCCAGATCTCCTTCGTGGGTGCAGGGGCCCCAAGATTTGGGTCATCCTCTACAACTTTCCCAGGTGCATTATCAGGGAACAGGATCAGAAGTAGAGTAGCCAGGGACTCAAATTGGTGCCTAAATGGGATGCAGGCACTGCAGGTGGTGGCTTTACCCATTATGCCACAGTGTTGGCCCCTGTATATTTTCATTTATGAAATACATTCAGGGAATTAAAGGAGGGAAGATGAGCAACATGAATCAGGTTTTTATTATATTAATAAAAATTTTATAAATGATGTATTAAGACTTTATATGTGGGGCCAGCACTGTGGCGTAGCAGGTAATGCTGCCACCGGCAGTGTTGGCATCCCGTATGGGTGCTGGGTCAAGTCCCGGCTGCTCCACTTCTGATCCAGCTCTCTGCTATGGCTTGGAAAACCAGTAGAAGATGGCCCAAGTCCTTGGGCCTCTGCCCCCATGTGGAAAACCCAGAAGAAGCTCTTGGTTCTGGATCAGCCCAGCTCCAGCTGTTGCGGCCATTTGGGGAGTGAACCAGCAGATGAAAGACACCCCTCTCTCTCTTGTCTTTCTGTATAACTCTTGACTTTCAAATAAATAAATATTTTTTTAAAAATAGACTTTATATGTGACAGTTATTTTGCCATGTGAAGAAATAATTGTCAGTATTTCTTTCTTACAGAGGAGTGTTGCAATCTCTCATTGAAAAGCACTTTCCTGCTCCAGACAGAAAAAAACTGTATAGTTTACTAGGAATTGATTTGACAGCTCCAAGTAATAACAGTTCACCGAGAGACAGTCCTTGTAAAGAAAATAAAGTAAAGAAGCGGAAAGGTGAGTGTTATTCCTAAATAGTTGATGTTAGTAAAGAGTGGTTGCAGTTGATCAGGAGTTTAGCTGATATTTGGAATCGTTTTTGTAATATTTGCAAATTGTACTTGTTCCTATCCTTGTCCTAAAGTCCTCAAGATAAGTGTTTTCTCAAACAAAAAGTATGCCTAAATTAATCTAATCATGGAAATTGATTCAGAACCTAGACATTAGTGAAAACTTAAATGTTTATATACATAAATCCCATGCTGCTTAACCTGAATAAAGTTGAGAAGTGCTAAAGTTTATGTCAAAAGTACTATATATGGTAGCATTTTAAAGTAGCTGTATTTGGGAATGAAATTTGAATTAGCTAGTGGTTGAATACTTTCACTGCATTCACATAGTTTTACATGCGCGAGTAAACTCATTTATGTATTTATTTTTAAAGATTTATTTATTTATTTGAAAGAGTTACTAGAGAGATAAGAAGAGGCAGAGAAAGAGAAGTCTTCCATCCGCTGGTTCACTCTGCAGACTTGAACCGGATCCCATATGGGATGGTAGCGCTGCAGGTGGCAGCATTACCCACTATGCCACAGCGGCGGCCCCTAGACCTCTTCTTTCAACCTGATGCACAGTTAAATTGAGAGAATGCCAGAAATTCTGTGTTTTTTTGTTTGTTTTGTTTTTTTTTTTTTTTTTTTTTTTTTTTTTTTGACAGGCAGAGTGGACAGTGAGAGAGAGAGACAGAGAGAAAGGTCTTCCTTTGCCGTTGGTTCACCCTCCAAAGGCCGCCGCTGCAGCCGGCGCACCGCGCTGATCCGATGGCAGGAGCCAGGATCCAGGTGCTTTTTCCTGGTCTCCCATGGGGTGCAGGGCCCAAGCACCTGGGCCATCCTCCACTGCACTCCCTGGCCATAGCAGAGAGCTGGCCTGGAAGAGGGGCAACCGGGACAGAATCCGGTGCCCCAACCGGGACTAGAACCCGGTGTGCCGGCGCCGCAAGGTGGAGGATTAGCCTATTGAGCCACGGCGCCGGCAGAAATTCTGTTTTAACTCTTAATTTGTTTTGAAGCTTCTGATCTCAGAGGTAGTCTCATGTTTGTACTTATATATCTATTTCTTGAGAATAATTGAACATATCCTGATTACATGTGGGAACCCAAGAGTAGCACCTACTTGTGGACTTTATTTTCTTCTGAATTCCATTTCCAGTAATTCTTGAACGAAATGTGTGGTTCATTAGATCTTTATACACATTGTATTTAGACCGATTCTATTGTTTGGGAGTAGGTGATGAAATAACACGAGAAGCCAAAAAAGCACGAAAAGTGGGTGGCCTTGCTGGTAGCGGTTCTGATGACAGTGGAAGTGAATCCGATGCCTCTGAGAATGAAGAGAGTGACTATGAGAGCTCCAGAAACATGAGTTCTGGAGATGATGACGATTTCAATCCATTTCGAGACGAGTCCAGTGAGGACGACGAAGATGGTGAGTTCCTGTGTGACTGAAGTGTGCATGAAAGGACAGTGATGCTCCAGTGTGACAGGAAATGGGTGAAGCCTTAAGACTTGTCTGTGTAGTACAGAGTCACCCAGGTTCTCTGCTTGGCTTGGCAGAGGCCCCAAGCTTGCCGCTCTTGTGGAGGTTTGAGCGTCATGTGAGCGATGATGGCCGCCGTGTTCGTGCGGCTGTCTTGAACCTTGGAACAGTGGGGTGTAGCTAGGACGCGCTGGTTCCCTGCAGCAGTGATAAGTGAACAGCACAGAACACCTCCGGGCTGCTTCCGTGAATATTCTGTACTGGTCTTGACACATGATTTGACTATATCTTTCCTTAACTTCCAGATCCTTGGCTAATCAGAAAAGAGCACAAGAAAAACAAAGAGAAAAAAAAGAAGAAAAGTATAGATCCAGATTCTATTCAAAGTGCCTTATTAGCTTCAGGTCTTGGCTCCAAACGACCTAGCTTTTCATCTACACCTGTTATTGCACCTGCTCCCAACAGTGCCCCAGGTAAGGGTGCTTTTTGAAATACATTTCTAAACAAAATGAATATTCAAACCTTGCACTGACGTTTAACAAATGTTCTCTAGCTAGTAGTAATACCAACAGTAGCAGCAGCCTTGTAACAAGTCAGGACGCTGTGGAAAGGGCCCAGCAGATGAAGAAAGACCTCCTTGACAAGCTAGAAAAATTAGCTGAAGACCTCCCTCCCAACACCCTGGATGAGCTGATTGATGAACTTGGTGGCCCTGAGAACGTAGCTGAGGTAAGTATGAATTTTTTTTAAAAGATTTATTTATTCATTTGAAAGGCAGAGGGGGGTACCTCTTAAATCCTTAGAATGAGTGATATCAGATTTTCTTTCTTAGATTTTTTTTTTTTTTTTTGGCAGGCAGAGTGGACAGTGAGAGAGAGAGACAGAGAGAAAGGTCTTCCTTTGCCGTTGGTTCACCCTCCAATGGCCGCCACGGCCGGCGCACCGCGCTGATCCGATGGCAGGAGCCAGGAGCCAGGTGCTTTTCCTGGTCTCCCATGGGGTGCAGGGCCCCCGCACCTGGGCCATCCTCCACTGCCCTCCCTGGCCACAGCAGAGAGCTGGCCTGGAAGAGGGGCAACCGGGACAGAATCCGGCGCCCCAACCGGGACTAGAACCAGGTGTGCCTGGCGCCGCTAGGCGGAGGATTAGCCTAGTGAGCCGCGGCGCCGGCCCAGATCTTTTTTTTTTTTTTTAAGATTTTATTGATTTATTTATTTGACTGGTAGAGTTACAGACAGTGAGAAAGGTCTTCCTTATACTGCTTACTCCCCAAATGGCCATAGTGGCTGGAGCTGAGCCAGTCCCCTGCCTGTAGCCAGCAGCTTCCTTGGGGTCCCCCACATGGTACAAGACACTAAGCACTTGGGCCGTTCTCCACTGCTATCCCAGGCCATAAGTAGAGAGCTGGATTGGAAGAGGAACAGCCGGGACATGAACTGGTGCCCATGTGGGGTGCCATCGCCACAGACGGAGTTTTAACCTATTATGCCACAGCACTGGCCCCTAGATCTTAAGAATCCTCATTCTACTGCTTTATTTTGTGTCTTTTTTTTAAAAAAAAAAATTATTTTAAAGGCACAGACATCTCTCATTCACTGGTTCATTCCTTAAATGCTCCCAGGAAATTAAAGTAGGTGCCCTGTGTGCGAGGCAGAAGACCGTCAGCTGCTGCCTCAGGTGTAGCAGGAAGCTGGATGGGTGGCTCAGAGGAGCCGTGTAACTGCTGTGCCACAGTGCCTGCCCTTCTCATCTCGCTCTGGTTGTCAGCCCAGAGCAGTGGACACCCCTAGTGTTCAAATATCAGTCTTGAACTGCTTGTTCGGGTCACTGCCACTGTCAGGCAGCTTGCCTTTTTTTTTTTTTTTTTTTTTTTAAGATTTATTTGAAAGGTCAAAACTGTAGGGGTGGGGTGGATTATATCTCCACTAGGTTTACTCCCCAAATGGCCACAACAGCCCAGGCCAGGGCCAGGCTGAAACTAGGAGCCTGGAGCTCCATCCTGGTCTCCCGCATGAGCGGCAGAGGCTCAAGTGCTTTGACGGTCCTCTGCTGCTTGTCCAAGGATGTTAGCAGAGAGCTGTATCGGAAGCAGAGCAGCCAGGACTGGGAAATGGCATTCTGCTAAGAGACACTGGCATTGCTAGCTGCAGCTTAGCGCGCGGCATCGTGGTGCCTGTCGCTGTCATGCAGTTTTTGTGATAGTGGCTCATGTTGGTTTTTCCCAGTGTCTGTGTTATATGGTGTCTGGTGTCCACCAGTGCCAGCGTGGCTCAGGCTGTGCCTCCGTCTCCCAGGCTGCTTTAGTGAAGGAGGCCCTTAGCTGCGTACACCATGGTCAGACGCGGCTCTGTAATAACGCTCTGCTTCTCAGATGACCGGCCGCAAGGGGCGGGTTGTAAGCAATGACGATGGGAGCATATCCTACGAGTCACGATCGGAGCTGGACGTACCCGTGGAGATCCTGAATATCACAGAAAAGCAGAGGTTCATGGACGGAGATAAGGTAGGTCTTTCTGATGTGCTTCACGGTGAAAAGAAAAGTGCCCGTATGTCAAGTTTGAGATCTTTTTCATTTTATTTATTTATTTTAAATTTTATTAATTTACACCTTTTTCATTTTAACATAAATTGTTTCTGTTAAATTGTATTCTATATTTTCTACTAATGGACACAATCAGTGAATTATAGCCTGTTTTTATTTGTTGTAAGTTAAATGTAATGACTTTTCTGTATTATGTACACTGTTAGATGTGGTTCTTGATAGTTTTAGGGATTCCTAAACCTAGTGAGAATATAAAAATACTGTGTTTTTCCAGATCATCTTTGTATCTTGACCTCTAGTATCATTATTTTGAGGCTGGAATGACACTTAAGGGTACCCAGATTACTGTATCCTTTGGTTTTGCTGTTTCTAGTGTTGCACCACCCTGGGTAGCTTACGGGGTGAATTTCCGCATTTGACTACTCTAGAGATTTCTGTAGGGCCTCCAGAATCTCCTCCTGTAAGATCTCATTGTGACGTGAACGCCCTTGGCTTTAATTGAAGCTTCTCCAGTCCATTTCTCTTCATCTGCTCAGTAGAATAGAAGCATTTGTTGGTGAGATTGTTCCAATGCAGTAGTAACCTTTCATCCTAGCACCCCTAAAACTCATGTCTTAATCTAAAACAGGAAGAAAAAAAGTTACTTATCTACCCATATTTTGCCTTATTTCAATGAACTTTTATGCAGTTAGAAAATAGATAATAGATACCACTATGAAAGTTATCTTTAAAAAGTATATTAAATGGCTTTTGTTACATTAAAGATTGTGGGTAGAGTTATTATCAGTTATTTTATGTACTTGTTTCATGCATCTGGGTGCACATGCGTTAGGAATTGGTACTAATTATAAGTGTTGGACTGTTAAATGATAATCTAAAATTAACACAGGCCAGATGTTCATTTCTCTCAAAAGTTTGGCTAAATAGATCAGGGTGTGGCCCCTTGAAACCAGGCCTCTTCTCTTTTATTGGCTTAATTCTATGGACTTCCATTTCCAAGTTACCTCTGTGTTCCAGGGGAGTAGTGCAGATCTTCTCATTACCTTTACATTGTAGCCAGTGGAGAAAGGTCAGGAGAAGGGAAGGTTCTGGACATTATACACACAGTCTGCAGGCGGGACCATGCCACATGCTCACACTTCAGACCAAGGGAGACTAGGAAATCTATATTCTGGGGAGCCTGGGACCCAGCTAAAAGAAGGAGCCATGTTGTTTCCAGAAGGAGGTGTAGGTATTGGTGGACCAGTGCAGCATTTTATTTATCGCACTGTCCTTTGCAGAGTTAATGTTTTCTTCCTCTTGATACAGAATATTGCTATTATCTCAGAAGCTGCCAGCTCAGGCATTTCATTGCAAGCAGATCGGAGAGCTAAAAATCAAAGGCGAAGAGTTCACATGACTTTGGAATTACCTTGGAGTGCTGATAGAGCAATTCAGCAGTTTGGTACGTTCCTACACTGGGTTTCACCTGATGCATAGGGTAGCTGGCAGTCACTGGGGAAATGGGCGCATATCCCTGTCTGCATTTATGTCAGATGTCTTAGAACTTGAAATCTTAGATTTTCTTAGCATATACGTTATACATAATGTATAGTGCATTAAGAATTTCATCCTTAGCTCTTTGGAAGCTGTAGTCTAGCAGAGTAAGCAGGTATCCCACAGGAGCACTGGTTCAGGTCTGGCTGCCCCACCTCTGACCCAGCTCCTGTTGTTGTGCCTGAGTAATCCGGGGAAGCTGGGTGATATGCTTTGGCCCCTGCCACTCATGTGGGAGAGAACAGATGTTAGGTTCCTGGTTTCAGCCTGCCCCAACTCTAGTCCCAGTCATTGTGGCATTTGGGGAGTGAACCAGTGGATGAGAAATCTCTCCCTCTGTTTCTGTAATTCTGTCTTTCAAATAATAATAATAATAAACAGATCTGGTGGGGGTTCGTGGGGGATCCTTACATGGTGTCTGAGAGCAGACCACCGGAACTATCTTCATTATAGACCTTTAGGCTATGGGGCTGGGTCAGAGCAGATGCTGTTTCAAGTTCAGCTGTGAGTGAGCCTTCCTGTACTTCCAGTCTCCTGACTTTTTGCTGACTTAGAAACAACAGTTTTGGGAGAATCTAGTATGACTGTGCAATCAACATTATAGTTAAACAAAATTGGGGAAGCAGTACTGACACTGTGTGTGTGTGTGTGTGTGAGAGAGAGAGCGAGAGAGCGAGAGAGCGCGAGCGTGCGCGAGAAGATATATTTATTGAAAAGGCCCAGTGACAGAGTTGGCCCACCTGCTGGTTTACTCCCCAAATGCCTGTAACAGTCAGAGCTCCGGTAGTGGCAGCTTAACCTGTGGCTCCACAGCACCCAGCCCTCATCTGACGGGTTCCTGCCTCTTGACAGGCAGAGTGTTGTTCTGAATACAGGTGTCATTCAGGCCACTATTTGCAATTTTGATCATTTTAGGGGCGTTGAGGTAAATGTTGTATTATTTTTAATTTTTTCTCTGTTTAAAGATTTCTCAATGTCAGCTTTGTATTATATGCGGAAAACATCAAAATTTCTTTTCTAGTGAACACAATTAGTGATCTTTAAAACAATTTCATTACAGGAAGAACTCATAGATCAAACCAAGTTACTGCTCCCGAATATGTCTTTCTGATTTCTGAGTTGGCAGGGGAACAAAGATTTGCATCTATTGTTGCCAAAAGACTTGAGAGTTTGGTAAGTGTTTGAGTTATATAGATGTATGTAAAAGATAATGGATGTTACCTGACTTCTGTAGAGGGGTTAATTGTGCCTCAAATAACTGCAAGCTTTATATTTTTCTAGGGGGCGCTTACACATGGGGACAGAAGAGCAACAGAATCTAGAGATTTGAGCAGGTTCAACTTTGACAATAAGGTACCTCTCAGCGCTTCTGACACTCGTCCTGTGTGGTAGCTGTAGTGGGAAAAAAAGACAGGATACGGCTTAAAGCTGGAAACTACCTCCCTGTAATAGAATGGCTTCCTCTAAGACAAAGGATTTCACATGTTAAGTCTTGGATCAGTGCAATGGAATAGTTATATTTTATTCCTGCTGGATAATAGAATTATGATTGCTATTTGGAATTAATCAGGTGTGAATTCCTAGAAAATTAACAAATGTGTGCTAAGGCATGAAGTAGGCTATATAAATATATGTAAAGATAATTGAGAACTGGATTTTTAATGTTTGCACAATAATAAGATGAACGTTTGTTTTTTTTTTTTTTTTCATGTTTATTTGAAAGACAGATATTCAACCACTGGTTTAGTCCCCAAATGCCCATAGTAGCCAGAGTAGGGCCAGACCAAAGCCAACAAGCCTAGGTTTCAGTCCAGGTCTCCTACACGGGTGCCAAGGACCCAAGTAATTTGAGCATCACCTGCCTCCTCCCAGAGTGCGCAGTAGCAAGAAGTTGGATTGGGGTGGAATAGCTGGAACTTGAACCAGTCTGTAGGAATGGGGGTCCCAAGCAATAGCTTTATTGCTGTGCCACAGTGCCCACCCCCAATAATAGTTTTTATGGCATCTAGATGGTCATATGATTGAAGAGCATCTGATTGCTGAAATGGTTAAAATGTTTTGTTTTTATTGCAGTATGGAAGAAATGCTTTAGAAATTGTCATGAAATCCATTGTAAACTTGGATTCTCCTATGGTATCCCCACCTCCGGACTATCCTGGAGAATTCTTTAAAGGTAACTTTAAAAAATAAACATGGTGGAAAATCTGTTCTAACATGGTTTTAGTTTTTTTTTTCCTTTGGACACACTTTGTATAAAAGTTAGAAATTAAAAATGATTAGAACAAAACAGGTTTATTCAAACTAATTTCACATGAAAGTTCCTTTGCTCTTCACAGCCTAATACATATTGTCTAATTCTAGACTTAACAGAGGACAGTGGTTTTGTTAAAATCACCTTGCCAAATAGTTTTTGAAATTTAAAGTTAAAATATCCTATTTTCCCCCCTATTTTATGTGTTTGGCAATTCCCACAGTAGAAGAAACTGCATGGTGCTATAGAAAATCTTGGAACCATGTTAAAATTGGTGGAGTAGACTCTGCCGCACGTTGTCCGTGAAAGTAGGCTAGGTGATGGTAGGAGTTCAGAAAGCTGGGGCAGTGTCTGTAAAGCCCGTGGATGCAAGATCCTGTACATCTGGAAGCCTTCCCTTCCCAGTAGACCCTCCAGGGCAAGTCCGTTTACTCGGGTGTGTGCATGGGCACTGCACCTTAACTCAGCTGTGCCTCACACACAAATACTCCTTCGTGGTCTCGCAGAGGATGTGTATCAAAAACTACTTCCTCATTTCTAGTCTTTAAAAAGTACAGGTTACGGGGCCAGCGCCGTGGCTCTCTTAGTTAATCCTCCGCCTGTGGCACTGCCATCCCATGTGGGCACCAGGTTCTAATTCCAGCTGCACCTCTTCCAGTCCGGCTCTCTGCTGTGGCCTGGGAAGGCAATGGAAGGTGGCCCAAGTGCTTGGGCCCCTGCACCCACATGGGAGAACGGGAGGAAGCTCCCGGCTCCTGGCTTCGGATTGGCACAGCGCGCCGGCCATAGCAGCCATTTGGGGGGTGAACCAATGGAAGGAAGACCCTTCTCTGGGTCTCGGTCTCTCTCTCTCTCTCTCTCTCTCTCTCTCTCTCTCTCTCTCATTGTCTAACTCTGTCAAATTAAATAAAATAAAAATTATAGGTTACTTACTCATTGTAAGTAATGGAAATAATCTGAATGGGTTTAGCGACTTAGTTAATACTCTTCCCTTAAACCTCTCCACCTCTTCTATTCCATTTCCTGAAGTCAGAGGATGACACTGTGAAATCGACAGCCTTCCACATTATTTTTCCATATTTATCTAATATCCGAATACTAAGATTTTCTTTCTTTATTTAAAGATTTATTTTATTTACTTGAAAGGCAGAGTTGGGGTGGGGGAGAGAGAGAGAGAGGTCTGCCATCCAATGTTTCGCTCCCCAGGTGACCACAGTGGCTGGGGCTGGGAAACCAGGAGCTTCTTCTGGGTCTCCCACGTGTGTGCAGGGGCCCAAGGACTTGCGCAGTCCTCTGCCACTTTCCCAGGTGCGTGAGCAGGGAGCTAGATGGGAAGTGGAGCACCTGGGACCTGAGCTGGCGCCCATGTGGGATGCTGGCATCACGAGTGGCAGCTTTACACTGCCCCTTTTAACATTGAAGGACGAACAGAGAAAGAGTGAGCAAGAATACACACTGCATTCTCCTGTTTCACTCCCAAATGCCCCCATTAACAGGGCTTGGGCCAAGACTGGAGCCAGGCCTGGGAACCTATCCAGGTCTGTTGATGTGGATGGCAGAAATCCAATCAGTTGTTTTCACCACTTCCTCTCAAGGTCTACACTAAGAGGAAGCTAGAGTCAGGAATGCAGCTGAGTATTGAACTCAGGGGCTCTGGTATGGGACATGGGTATCTTAAATGCTAGGGCGGGGGGTCAGGAGCTGTGGTGTAGTGGGCTAAGCCTCCACCTGTGGCGCTGGCATCTCATATGGGTGCTGGTTTAAGCCCCGGCTGCTCTTCTTCTAATCCAGCTCTCTGGTATGACCTGGGAAAGCAGTAGAGGATAGCCCAAATCCAGCCGCTGCACCCACTTGGGGGACTCCAAAGAAGCTCCTGGCTGGAGGTGAGCAAGCTGCAGCCATTGCAGCCATTTGGGGAGTGAAGCAGCATCTAGAATCTGACTCTCAAATAAATAAATAAAATCTTTCTTTAAAAATGCCAGGTCAGGTGCCCGCCTCCTTGTTTTTTATTTTAAGATAGTTATTTGGGATAGAGCGCCCATCTGCCAGTCATCTCTCCAAATGTCCACAAAACTGGGGCTGGATCAGGCTGAAGCCAGGAGGCAGGAACTCAGTCCAGGTCTCCCACGTGAGTGCAGGGCCTACCTACTCATCAGCACATGCTGTCTGCAAGAGGCATTGGCTGGAAGCTAGGATCAGAGTGGAGTTGGGACCCAGGCCCTCTGATGGGGGAAGGGGACAATACTTATTTTATTTATTCAAAAGGCATAGTTAACAGAGAGAGAGGGAAATACAAATCTTCTATCTTCTGTATTACTCCCCAAATGGTCTCAATGGCCAGAGCTGGGCTAAACTGGATCCAGGAGCTCTTTCCAGTCTCCCACTTGGGTGCAGGGACTCAACTGAGTCATCTTTCGCTACTTTCCCAGGCACATTAGTAGGGAGCTGAATCTGAAATGGAACAGCCTGGGCACAAATCAGCACCCACATGGGATGCCACCCACTGTGCCACAACACCAGCCCCTTTACATGATTATTTACATGGTTAGTGTTCTGCTACTTGCACAAAGTTACTCTGATTCTGTAGTTGGTTTCTTCACAAAGACCCCAAGTGTGCAGGCCACTGTTGGAAAGCTGAAATATTTGAATGAAGTATTGGGATGTAGTGTGTGGAATGTAATTCAGCTAACTGGAATATCTTAACAGATGTATAGGCTGTCAGTGCTAAAACTCGATCTAGTTTGATGAAATTAGGTAATAATTCATGGAGTCATTTGAATTACATAGTTTTGTTTTTAAAAATATCTTGGAATAGCTTCTACTGTATTTTTTTTAAGATTTTATTTATTTATTAGAAAAGCAGAATTGCAGAGAAGCAGAGGTAGAGAGAGAGAAACAGGTCTTCCATCCGGTGGTTCACCCCCCAGGTGGCCGCAACAGCTAGAGCTGTGCAGATCCGAAGCCAGGAGCCAGGAGCTTCTTCTAGGTCTCCTATGTGGGTGCAGGGGTCCAAGGACTTGAGCAGTCTTCTTAACTGCTTTCTCAGCCACAGCAGAGAACCGAATTGGAAGTGAAGCAGCCGGGACTTGAACCGACACCCACATGAAATGTTAGCACTGCAGGTGGCAGCTTTACCCGCCACAGCATAGCACCAGCCCCCAAATTACTTAGTTTTTTACAAGTTTATTTTCTTATAGATGTTCGTCAAGGATTGATAGGAGTCGGCCTGATAAATGTAGAAGATCGCTCAGGAATTCTTACTCTTGATAAAGGTAATACTGTTAACTTTGTGTGTATAACTTGTTAGATTAATGACTGTTATAGGTATCCAAAAAAGATCATTTTGTCCTTAGAGCATGGATCTCAACCCTGGCTGCAAAAAAACCCTCAGCTGTCAAGCTTTTAAACCTTGAAGCCAGGGGTCAAGTTCAGACATTGGTAATTTTCCAAAGCTCTCAGACACTCTCATTGTTCAGCCAGGGTTGAGACTTAGACTTTACAGCTTCTGGAGTTAGGATTTAATGTTAGAGAATGAACGTTCTTCGGTGCTCAGTTCTGGTTTCTCTTTCTGTGATACAAAAATTGAGTTCAGCATGAATCTCCAGCATGTACAGTGGCAGTGGGAATGGCTAGAGGCAGAACTGGGCAGATTATAGCCTGTTGTCCTGGCTGTGCCAAAACTGAGAAGACTTCATAAGAGAATGTGGGACTTGAACCTGGCCCAGAGGATTAGAAATGTGTGGAAGTGTTTTTGACTGAATTCATCACTTGTGTGATCTTGTCATTGCAGATTATAACAACATAGGAAAATTCTTAAATAGAATTTTGGGTATGGAGGTGCATCAGCAGAATGCATTATTTCAGTATTTTGCGGACACACTTACTGCAGTTGTTCAAAATGCCAAAAAAAATGGAAGATATGATATGGGAATCTTAGGTAAGTGGGGAGATGTTTTACATGTTAAGTGTCTTCTTATAAAAAAAGGTTTTACATGGACATGTTGCTTTTTCTCGTTCAAGATCTTGGTTCTGGGGATGAAAAGGTGAGGAAGAGTGATGTTAAGAAGTTTCTGACTCCAGGATACTCAACCTCTGGTCATGTGGAGCTGTACACAGTAAGTCTGGAAAACATGTGCAAGTCCCACTGTCATCTTCCCACAATAGGCATTTACAAAAATGAGTTTAATTTAACTCCTGCACTTTGCTTTCTAGATCAGCGTAGAGAGGGGAATGTCCTGGGAGGAAGCCACCAAGATTTGGGCAGAACTAACAGGACCAGATGATGGCTTTTACTTGTCATTGCAAGTATGGCTTTTCCTTTAAGTGTTAATTGTTGAGATTTATAACACTGTTTCATAGACACACTGTGACTGTCTCCTCCCTGTGTGCACATTTCCCAGTTGTGTGTGGCCCTTTTATTGGTAATTTATTGCTGTAATTGTGAGTTTTTCCATTTATATATGTTTTTATTTAATGTATTTTGAGTGATGTTAATAGAATGGTTTATTACATATTTTTGTAAAATGAATCTTTCATAATACAATGACATTCATAATGCTTTCTGTCTTAAGGACTTTTTTTTTTTTTTAAGATTTATTTATTTATTTGAAAGGCAGAGTTACACAGAGAGAGGTCTTCTATCTGCTGGTTCATTTCCCAGATAACCACAACACCTGATGCCAGGAGCCTGGCGCTTCTTCCAGGTCTCCCACATGGGTGCAGGGGCCCAAGGACTTGGGCCATCTTCCACTGCTTTCCCAGGCCACAGCAGAGAGCTGGATCGGAAGTGGAGCAGCCAGGACTGATTTTTCAAGGATTAATATGCATGTTAAAAAACAACAAAACAAAAAGGGGCTGATGCTGTAACATAGCAGGTAAAGCCACCGCCTGCAGTGCTGGCATCCCATGTGGGCACCGGTTTAAGTCCTGGCTACTCTACTTCCGATCTAGCTCTCTGCTTGGCCTGGGAGGGCAGTGGAGGATGGCCCAGATCCTTAGGCCCCTGCACCCACATGGGAAGACCCGGAGAAAATTCCTGGCTCCTGGCTCCTGGCTCCTGGCTTTGGATTGGCGCAGCTCTGGCTGTTGTGAGCAGTTGGAGAGTCGTCCAGTGGATGGAAGACACCCCCCCCCCCCCCCTGACACACACACCTCTCTACCTCTCCTCTCTCTGTATAACACTTTCAAATAAATAAATGATCTTTAAAAAAATATATGCATATTACAGGGACTAGCATTGTGGCATAGCAGGTAAATCCGTCACTGCCTGTGTGGTCAGCATCCCATATGGGTGTGGTTTATGTCCAGCAGATCTGCTTCTTCTTCTTTTTTTTTTTTTTTTTTTTTTTTTTTGGACAGGCAGAGTGGAGAGAAAGGTCTTCCTTTGCCGTTGGTTCACCCTCCAATGGCCGCCGCTGCAGCCGGCGCACCGCGCTGATCCGATGGCAGGAGCCAGGAGCCAGGTGCTTTTCCTGGTCTCCCATGGGGTGCAGGGCCCAAGCACCTGGGCCATCCTCCACTGCACTCCCTGGCCACAGCAGAGAGCTGGCCTGGAAGAGGGGCAACCGGGACAGGATCCGGCACCCCAACCGGGACTAGAACCCGGTGTGCCGGCGCCGCAAGGCGGAGGATTAGCCTAGTGAGCCGCGGCGCCGGCCAGATCTGCCTCTGATTCAGCTCCCTACTAATGGTCTGGGAAAAGCAGCAGGAGAGAGCCAAGGTACTTGAGCCCCTACCACTCATGGGAGACCTGGATGAAGCTCCTGGCTCTCGGCTTTGGCCTCGCTCAGACGTGGGCATTGTGGCCACAGTGGAGGAGTAACCATTGGTCAGCCAGGGAGTAACCAGCAGATAGAAGATCCCTCTGTAACTTTTTCCAAAGTAAAGAAAATGCTTATTGCAAAAAACCTTCATGGATTTCTACGTGTTCATGTAGCAATAAATTTTTTTTCAACATTTTATTTGTGGGACAGAGAGCTACCATCCACTGATTTTATTTTCCATATGCCTGCAATCCCCCAGTTAATGGTGAAGGCAAGAGCCATGAAGTCAAACCAGATCTCTTATGTGGATGGTAGGAACCCAATTGGATGAGCTGTCCCTACTGTCTCCTAGGGTCTGCATTAATAGGGAGCTGGAGTCAGGAGCTCTGGCTGAAGTCAAGCCCAGGAGCTCCATTGTGGGACCATGGGTATTTTAACTTCTAGATCAGAGATCTACCAAGTTTATATTTTAATTCCACACTCCCACATAATTTTTGAAGTACCCTCCTACATACTAATGTCCTATATGTACTGAATAGATAGAGTCATACATGGTACAATATCTTGAATTTAGTAGCTTATCTTATTATTTTCTAGGTTAACACAGGATGATAATATATTACCAATACTATGCTCCAGTATTCCTGAAGATGCTAAAAAACACCTGTTTTTTGGTCTCTTCCATTTTTAAAAAAGTAGTTCTATTTCTGCATTGTGAGAGCATTAACAACTATATACTGTACTTTTATTTTGACCATCAATCTTAGTTCTGTGCATATTTATTTTTGAAGCTAACCCTTCACTTACTAGCTGTCAGCTGAGTTCTTTAGTCATTTTGTCTGGTGCACATTTTGTAGCAGGCCCTTCAGGAAGGGCTAATGGGAATGTCACTCCCTGAGTCCTGCCTGCCGATGCGTTTGTGCTGTTGTACTTACGGCAGCTCACGCTGTGTGAAGTCTTGTATCACATGTTCTGTCCTCGAGTGTGTGCCTCTGAGCTGGCTGCTGCCTGTGCTTCTGGGATTTGCTGGCACACTTTGATGGTACTTTGATTTTTTCATTTTTAATTATTTTTGCTTATGTGCCCAATAAACTTACTAATTCTACGGTAATATATCCTGGTCTTAGTCATTGTGGGTCAGTATTTTCTGGAGTTTTCTCAGGTGTGTGCTACATTATTTCAACAAGTAGTTTCAAATCTTTATTTCAGAAAGGCTTTCTGAATTGTGCTTTCAAGGTTATTTTTATTTTTAAAGATTTATTTATTTGAAAGAGTTACACAGAGAGGAGAGGCAGAGAGAGAGGTCTTCCATCTGATGGTTCACTCCCCAGTTGGCCGTGCAGCAGCTGGAGCTGCGCTGATCCAAAGCCAGGAGTTTCTTCTAGGTCTCCTATGTGGGTGCAGGGGCCCAAGGACTGCCCTAGCAGAGAGCTGGATTGGAAGTGGAGCAGCCAGGTCTTGTACCCGGCACCCATATGGGATGCTGGCACTTCAGGCCAGGGCTTTAACCCACTGTACCACAGTGCCGGCCCCTCAAGATTATTTTTAAAGATTTGTTTTATTCATTTGAAAGGCCAAGTTACAGAGAGCGAGCGAGCTTCCATCTGCTGGTTCACTCCTCAGATGGCTGCAATGGCCAGGATTGAGTCAAGCCAAAGCCAGGAGCTTCATCCATATCTCCCACATGGGTGCAGAGGCCCAAACACTTGGGTCATCTGCTTTCCCAGGTGCTTTAGCAGTGAGCTAGATTGAAAGTGGAGCAGCTGAGTCTCAAACCATTGTCCATTTGGAGTGTCAACATTGCAGGTGGCAGCTTTACCTGATATGCACAACTCTGGCCCTCAAAGTTTATTTTTACTTGAAAGGCAGAGTGACACACATTTCCATCTGCTGGTTCACTTCGCAGATGCCTGCAGCATCTGAGACAGGGCAAGGCCTCAAACCGAGAGACGGGAGCTCCACCTGGGGCTCACCCAGGGTGAGGGTGGCCAGGCCTCCGGTCTGGAGTCCTCCTGCTGCTTCCCAGGTCAGAAGCAGAGAAGCCGAGACAAGAAATAGGCAGCTTGATGTGGCTGCACGGAGGCGTCCCAGGCACTGGCTTACCCAGCAGTGCCAGGGCTTGCTCCTGAGCTGTGTTTTGTGGGAACATTTCTGCTGCTCTCTATTCCTTAGTTTTCCCTCTTTCTGGGTCCTGCTTGTAAAAAGTCAATGCTGGGGCCGCTGCTGTGGCACAGCAGCTTACAATCCCGGCTGCTCCACTTCTGATCCAGCTCCCTGCTAATGTGCCTGGGAGAGCAACAAAGGATGGCCCAGTACTTCGGCCTCTGCACTCATGTGGAAGACCCGGAAGAAGCTCCTGGCTTCAGCCTGGCAGTTGCAGCCATTTGGGGAATGAACCAGCAGATGGAAGTCCCTCCACTCCCTCCCTCTCTCCGCCTATCTGTCTCTCTCTGTGTGTCTCTGTCTTTCTCTCTGTCTATCTCTACCTGTCTCTGTAACTTTGTCTCCCAAATAAATAACATAAATCTTAAAAAAAAAAAAAAAAGTTAAAAAATTTAAAAAAAAAAGCTTTCAGGGAGCCTATGTCTGATTCCACAGGCAGGGTGAGGCCTCTGTGAACAGAGTCCCTGAAGTTTTCTCTGAAGGGCCAGTTAAGGGGCTGGCATTTTGGCACAGTGGGGTAAGCCGCTGCCTGTATCACCGGCATTGCGTGTGAGTGTTGGTTTGAGCTCTAGCTGCTCCACTTCCAGTCCCGCTCCCTGCTGATGTGCCCGGGAAGTGTGCGGTAGTAGCCCCACACCGGGCCTCTGCAGCCCATGTGCATGGAGTGCCCAGCTCCTGGCTTTGGCCTGACCCTTCCCCCGCCATTGTGGCCATTGGGACGGTAACCAGCAGATAGAGGATCTCTAACTCTTTAAAATAAATAAATCTTAAAAAAAAAAAAAAAAAAAAAGGTCAGATAATAAATATTTTAGGTTTCGTGGCCCTCTATGGTCTATGTTGGCATATCGTTCCCTGAGGTTTTTTTCCTTACTGGCTCATTTCCTCCCCCTCTTTTCCTTAAATTGTACTGCAGCATGGGAGACTCAGGTTAGTTTTGGTCCATAGGCCTAGTTCTAGTTCCTTTTTTTTTTTTTTTTTTTTTTTACAGGCAGAATTAGAGAGAAAGGTCTTCCTTCCGTTGGTTCACCCCCGAAATGGCTGCTACGGCTGGCATGCTGCGGCCAGTATGCCGCACCGATCCAAAGCCAGGAGCCAGGTGCTTCCTCCTGGTCTCCCATGCGGGTTCAGGGCCCAAGCACTTGGGCCTTCCTCTACTGCACTCCAGGGCCACAGCAGAGAGCTGGCCTGGAAGAGGGGCAACTGGGACAGAATCCGGCACCCCGACCGGGACTAGAACACGGTGTGCCAGCGGAGGATTAGCCTAGTGAGCCATGGCGCTGGCCAGGCCTAGTTCCTTTTAAGGAAACTGTCGAGCCGGCGCCGCGGCTCACTAGGCTAATCCTCCGCCTAGCGGCGCCGGCACACCGGGTTCTAGTCCCGGTCGGGGTGCCGGATCCTGTCCCGGTTGCCCCTCTTCCAGGCCAGCTTTCTGCTGTGGCCAGGGAGTGCAGTGGAGGATGGCCCAGGTGCTTGGGCCCTGCACCCCATGGGAGACCAGGAAAAGCACCTGGCTCCTGGCTCCTGCCATCGGATCAGCGCGGTGTGCCGGCCGCAGTGCGCCGGCCTTGGCAGCCATTGGAGGGTGAACCAACGGCAAAGGAAGACCTTTCTCTCTGTCTCTCTCTCTCACTGTCCACTCTGCCTGTCAAAAAAAAAAGAAAAAAGAAACTGTCAAACCAGGTTGGGAATTTTTTTTTTTAATTTTATTTTTTCTTTTGGAAATTTCACTGGCTTGTAGATCTTGTGCAGTTACAAGAAATACCACATAGAGGACATAGAGGGACAGGTGTGCAGTACAGTGGCTGACACCACTGGGACACCCATGTCAGAGTGCCTGAGTTTGAATCCCGAGTCCAGTTCCAGTTTTCTGCTCGTGTGTACTGTAGGAGGCATCAGATGATTCTTCAAGTAATTAGGTCCCTGATAACCATGTGGAAGACTGGATTGAGTTCCCAGCTCTTGGCTTTTTACTGGCCCAGCCGTGGCTGTTGCAGGCATTTAAGGAGTGAACCAGTGGATAGGATGTATCTCTTTTGCCTGTTTGCTTTTCAAATAAATAAAAATAAATAATATATAGAAATCCTTATATACTTTCCCCATTTTCCTTAATGGCAATATTTTTTAAGATTATAGTATAATACCACATCCAGGATATTGATAATTTGCCTGTTATATTCACATTTTCACCGTGGATGCTTTTAAAAAAGTTTTTGAGGGGTGGGCGTTTTGACACAGTAGGTGAAGACACTAATTGGGATGCCCACATCCCATATTGTTCCTGGTTCTAGTCCCCTACTCCACTTAGTGTCCAGCTTCTTCCTCATACACATTCAGGGAAGAGGTGGATGAATCTCTAGTCACTGAGTTCCTACAGCCCACACAGGAAACTGATGGCAGTCTGGGCTCCTGGTTTCAGCTTGGCCCAGTGTCTGGGTTCACAGGAGCTAAAGCTGGGAGTGCAGCCCAGCCCGTACAGTGGGACGTGGGCGCCCCAGCTGCCCGGCCGAGTGCTGCCCGCTTTCACCTTGCCCTTGCTTTCTCTCACCTCTCAGGCCAGGTGTAAAGAACGGAAAAGGCAGAGTTCTTTGTCCTGGACACTGGTTTTTAAAGAATGCTTTGGCTCTTAACCTATGACATGAGGCAGAATTAAAATCTAAAATCCATCTTTTAGGGGAGGCCTGTGAAAGCCATTTCAACAGTGTAGTCCTTTTTCACATTATACATTCATGTACTTATTTGGTGTTACAGCCTTTCAAATGTTTGTATTTACTTTCCTGATGGTAGAAAAATGTGTCAAAGTGTGCAGTACTAAACCTTTCTTTCTTTAAAAACATAGATAAGGAACAACAAGAAAACTGCCATCTTAGTTAAAGAAGTAAACCCTAAAAAGAAGCTCTTCTTGGTTTATCGACCAAATACCGGGAAACAACTCAAATTAGAAATTTATGCTGATCTAAAAAAGAAGTATAAGAAGGTATTTTCTCATTTGTAAATTATCTTATATAATTGCTTCATAATATTTTGCAGTTAAGTTTAGGCTAGCTATGAAGGTTTTTCTAATATGCTTAATGATTAAAGGAAAGTTACTTTTAGAAAAGCATCAAGTTCTGTCACTGATATCTAAGTTTTAATGTTGTCAGCTTTTGAGGGATTTACAAGATTATATGAAACAATTTATGTTGCCAGTAAAGGGAAGCTGTCAGTGCTAATCGCAAGAGTTGGAATTTTTTAATAAAAGGAATGTGTTGAGGCTGAAATTCTTCTCCATTGACTAAGTTTTATTTTGAACATGATGCTATGTTTATGTTTTGTGTTGTTTTCTAGAAAGCAGCACCTTCATTTTTTCTAACTCCCTGTTAGGTTTTAGTAATGGTAGTGTATGTTTACCTGTTCCTACCTATTCTCGTTCTAAAACAAATATTACTAAACTAGCTGTTGAAAAGTTGCAAAGAAGGAAACATTGTAGCACACCTCTTGAACGCATTCAAATTCAGCAGGTAGCAAGGGCTGGGTTTTCTTTGCAGAGAATTTTCTGTGAGCTGCCTGTGGCGTTAGAGACCAGTTTAGGCAGTGAGTGTACTTCAAAAGCAAAATTGTTTCAGTGGAATTGTTATCTCTCTTTTCCAGGTAGTCTCAGATGACGCCTTGGTTCACTGGTTGGATCAGTATAATTCGTCTGCAGACACTTGCACTCACGCTTACTGGTTAGTGTTTTCCTGCTTCTCCCGTTCTCAGGGACGGCTCTCGAGTGTTTGCCAGTGTGTCCCTGGGAGCAGGTGAACGAGTCGGCCCCGGGTGGGCGAGGGTCTTCCGTCGGGGGTGTCGAGGGCTTGCAGCACCCCCCTGCGGGTTGCTGAGTGTCCTCTGTGCGTGTTGCTGCTTGGTTATTTCCTGCAGCCCTTGGCATGACGCGCTGCACTGCCAGCCTTAGTTCTAGAACTTGATGTTGGCTCCTTCTTTTCCTCACTTTTCTTTTTTCCTTTGTGTCTTTTTTTTGTAAGCAAAGCACTGCTGATGTACAGTATCCAGGCAGTTTGTGAAAAACCAGAAAGGTGACTAAGAAGCAGCTGGAGCTGACCCTTGTCTGGTGCCCAACGCGCCCCATCCAGGGTGTGTTTCAGACCCCTCTCTAGGGCTCTGATCCTCTGCAGATCTTCATCGTCTCTCAGTGCTTTTTGCACTGTTAGTGCTGTTGCAGCACCTGGTCCACTTCATGAAAGTGAATGTAAGGGGCTGGCACTGTGGCGTTGTGGGTACATCTACCACCTGCAGCGCCAGCATCCCATATGATTTTCGAGTTCAAGTCCCTGCTGCTCCACTTTCAATCCAGCTCTTTGCTATGGCCAGGGAAGGCCTTAGAAAATGGCCCAAGTCCTCGGGCCTGCCCCCTTGTGGGAGACCTGGAAGAAGCTTCTGGCTCCTGGCTTCTTTGGATTGGCACAGCTCAGGCAATTGGGAGTGAACCAGTGGATAGAAGGTCTGTCTGTCTGTCTGTCTCTCTCTCTCTCTCTCTCTCTCTCTCTCTCTCTCTCTCTCACTGTGACTTTCAAATAAATAAATCTTTTTTTAAAAAATGAATATAAGATTTCAGTGAATTTTAGCTCAGAGAGCTGGATTTTAGACTCAAGCAGGTAAATGAATTTGCTTTCATGAGCAGTGGCTTTTGAGAGTAAATAAATGCTATTGGACATTAACAGAAAAAAGAATATAGTTTTTTTTTTTTCTTTTTAAGATTATTAATTGGAAGTCAGGTTAAAGAGAGGGAAAGACAGAAGAGAGATCTTCCATCCAATGGTTTACTCCCCAAATGGTCATAACTGTGGGGGCTAGACCAGGCCAGAGACAGGGGCCAAGAGCTTCCTCTGGGTCTCCCACGTGGGTACAGGGACTCAAGCACTTGGGCCATCTGCTGCTTTCCCGGGTGGATTAGCAGGGAGCTGAATCAGAAGTGGAGCAGTTTGGCACTCGAACCAGTGCCATATGGGATGCGGGCACTGCAGATGGTGGCTTATCCTGCTACACAGCCACAGCTCCAGCCCCAAAGATAAAATGTTTTAAATTAATCTCCAAAGGCCTTCTGTAACATTTGCTTTGAGTTACAGAAAGGAAGTGTCCTGTACACAGTGTACCACTGTGTGTTAAATTTATCTAGCTTTAATACTGACTGCAGAGACATCTTATTGTTGAAGTGTGTGCAGACTTTTAACTGCAAAATATTGGTATGTCTTCCCTTTTTTAGTTCCTAAATTTTCATTTGGTATATCTGTCTCTTTCTCTTTCTGATGCTGAGTTCTTTCCCACTAATCTGATTTAGTAGAACATTGAATCATTATTTCAATAATAAAAACATAACTGGCAAGCCCAGTTTACAGATAACATTACTACAGTAAGATAATGGGTCCTGAAATGACTAACATGCATAACTGCATATAAAACTGGGAAAATCAGCCCTCTTTGAAGTTTCAGTCATCTGTCTGATGTAAGAAAGAGTCTATGAAGGCAGATAATGGCTAGCATGGTTCCGATTTGGAATTTGGATAGACCTTGCAAACCTATCACGAGTATGTGGAAAGCATCTGTATTTTTTTTCTCTTGTCTTTCCTAGGCGTGGCAATTGCAAAAAAGCAAGCTTGGGATTAGTTTGTGAAATAGGCCTCCGTTGTCGCACATATTATGTTTTATGTGGTTCAGTGCTGAGTGTCTGGACAAAAGTTGAGGGTGTTCTAGCATCTGTCAGTGGTACAAATGTGAAAATGCAGATAGTTCGGCTAAGAACAGAAGATGGACAACGAATTGTAGGTGAGTCTGATTTTTGCTTTGGTTTTAATTAAGGGGAAAAATCAGATCCTGCTTTTTCCAAATTGTGCTTCTTTAGTCTTAGATTTGTTTCAGAGGCATCTAGCATCAACTGCGGTAATGGGAGCTGGCTTTGTCTGGGCTTAGCTTGAACAGAAGTTTAGCCTTTGAGTGGACGTGCCTGGTTCTGGCTGGAGTTCGCGTGTGGTCACCTCTGTGACGCCACTGGCAGCTCCACTGTCTCCCCTTTGCTGTTCCTGCTGTGTGTGCAGGCTCCCTGCTGTGAAGACAGCTCAGCCTCTTGCCCAGGGCTCTTCACAGAGCTGGGACTGGACCCAAAGCTCCTGTACAGAGGAGGCTCAGAATCTGCAGGGAGAAGGTCAGAGCAGACCACCTGCCCCACCGCTCGCCTGGCCACACGCGTTCTGCACCCTGGCAGTGCTGCGCTCTGCCTGCTTGGTCGGTTTAAACTGTCAGGTATTTTCAGTTGTAGTAAGTTTTCATTTGAATTAGTTGCAGACATGTAAAAATCAAGAGGTTTCATATAAAATCCGGATTTTTAAGAAAAAATCTGGACATTGAGCCCACATTTTAGCACAGCAGGCATTAAAGTTCTTTTAACCAGGGCTTCCCTGCTTGCTAGTATCTGTCTCATTTCACAGAACCCTCCCAAATGAGCTGCTTATTGGAACACTGGGATTTGCAACTCCTGCTCTCCAGTGTTTCTGGTGCATTAGGACTTCGTAAAGAAGGTGGCATTTGTATTCTTTTGTAGAGTTGGGAAGATGGTAGATAGCAAAGTCCTATGATTGACCTTCCGTCCCTTTAATAAGAAGGTAGCGTTGCACTGGACACATGTGTGCCCTTTGGTATTGATGGGAAGAATCCGACTGCAGCCCTGTGAACGCTGCCATTGTTAGGGACGCGTTGCATTTCTGTGTGAATTTCTGGTTCATTGTGCTTATGGTTTTGCCTCATTTGGAGTCTGCTGTGAAGCTGCAATACAGTACACAAAGGTTTCTGCTGGACACCTGTACATTCTCGTTACTGATTACAGGCTTGATCATTCCGGCAAATTGTGTGTCTCCTCTTGTAAACCTCCTGTCGACGTCAGACCAGTCCCAGCAGCTTGCGGTCCAGCAGAAGCAGCTGTGGCAGCAGCATCACCCGCAGAGCATCGCCAGCCTGAGCAGCGCGTGAGGAGCAGCCAGGCTGCGTCGTGGGAGGGTCTGAAGTGCTGTTGCAGACCATTTGCATAAAAATCAGGGACAGTTTCCAAAGAATTATATATTTTTTTCAGTTGTGCTCTGTAGTTAATTTGGGGGGACAAGGAGAAACCTGGAATAGATAGCAAAACTGAAAATCAGCAGTGCCGATGGTGGTACATTTGTCTTTCCTTTTGCTTTTCTTCTGGGACTTCCTATGTACTTTCACATTGAGTGTGCAGAGGGAGGTGTGTGTGTGTGTGCGTGCGTGCGTGTGTGCGTGTGTGTGTGTTAAAGCCTACAAACCACAACTGGTTTAAAAATGCTTAGAACTTCCCAATCTGGCTTTACCTTTCTGTTCTACAGTGCTCAGGGTTAACGCAGTGCACCCATGCCATTGCTGGGGGAGTTCTCCCCGGATGCATGTGTTTGAATCCATAAATACAGAAAATACGTGTTGGTTTCTTTTTCCAACTTAAACCATAGGTTTACTAAAGCATGAAATGAAAGGTCGCACATCATGCATTCAGGTTCTTTTCTAATTTTTCTGACAGTGCATGTCTTTGAAAGCATGCGTAAATAAGATTAACACAGAAGTCGAGTAATGGAGAGAAACATTTGTAGCTGTACAGCATTGGTTATTGCATTTTTATAGTGTTTATAATTGCGTATGGCTTCTACTCCCATGAGCCTCTCCCCCCTTCCTGTCCCAGGTTTCTTGTCAAAGTAATGACTGCGTACCTTTTTCTGTGTGTGTGATAAAACTCTGAAAGGTTAATTTTAATGTATTAATAGTATTCCTGACTTGTGCTGCAAAAATGGCTATGAGCCTTTTTTCTTAAAGTTACATTTTCCTTAACTTAAAAGCTGGTTTTAGAAAGAAGTACAAATTGGCATCCATCTTGCAAACACTGTTTTTTTACTTTATTAATTTTTGCTTTGTCATTCATAAAAAAGGAAATTGTACTTGAGCTGTAAACTAGACAATGAGGAAACACTTGAGGCTTCTGCTGTATGTTTTTATGTTGGTATTGTTATTGTTGTTACCCAGTAACTTGAATATTGTTTATGTGTTGTAGAGTTTATCTTAAGCTGTTAAAAATCGTAATGTACAAATGTGAATAGACACTTATCTATAATAGGGGTAAGTTTTGTTTTGCCTATAATAGATGTTTATAAAAACGAGTGAGGGGACAATTCGTCTTTTTTGTTTCCTTTTTTTTCCCCCTTGAGACAAGTTGCACTATTGAAAAATTGAGATTGTATAAACCTGGTCAAAAGCAGCAAGATACAAAAATCTTGTAGCTGTCAAATAAAAAGCTGTTATACTAACAAGAAGTGGACTCTTGTTTAGGCCCTCCCCAGGCATCTCTGAGCGTGGCCCATGGCAGGGCCTTGTAGAACTTGCGTGTGCTCCAGCATTGCAGGCCCTAGTGCAGTCTGGCTCCACGCCCACCCTGCAGTCTGACAGGTGCGGAGGAAGGGCAGGAGTGTAGCGCTGTGAGTGTTTGTGTTGCCGTGAAGTTGCTCCCTTTGTAGCCTGGGGGCTCGGTGAGAGCTGCAGGGTGGAGACTGGTGGGCAGCTTAGGGCTTTCGTCTCGTGCTCCTCTAAGCCCGAGTTTTGTTCTGTTAAGTTTACCGCAAGTTCTCTCTGGATTTATTTCTTCTTGGTGCCTAAAAGGACAAGTTGAGAATAATTTCTGTTCTTTGGCATATTCTGCCCCAGTGGATGCAACTCTTCTCCTCAGTCTAGTCTGTGTATCTCAGGCAGTGATGGCACGGATTCCACCAGTGCCCCTCGTTAGGGCTGTTAGACCAGCTGGCCTCTAGGAGCAGGTTGGCCCTCCCTTGAGCACAGCTGCCCAGTGGATGGTTCTGTGTCCAGGCGCTGAGGGAGTGGGAGCGTGGCGCGGACCTGCTCCCTCCAGCGAGGTGGGACGACGATGGGGCCGGGAGAGCTGCTCTGGTAGGGCTGGAGGCAGTTTGGCCCCCCGGGTGTGTACAGGGTGCCTCTTGAGCAGGTTCGGGTTTCTGCGGGTGTTCCCAAGGCAGGATTGGCGTGAGGATTCCGGGCGTGCAGACCACAGTGTGTCTGCTCCTGGAGTGGCCTTCTCGAGGCACAGCGGCCAGTGCGTGCTGTGCTCTTCGGAGTAGTGTTTCTTTACTCAAAAAAGAAAGCGCCAGAGAGCTCTCTGCAAGCGTTCTTCCAAAAGGCGGTGGGTTTGGATGTATGGAGCCGGGGTGCACGTGCGGCTCCCGGAGGCTAGTATCCACCCCCTCTGGACTGGTGGCCAGGAGCCCCTGGCAGTGAAGACCCTCCCCCACTGCTCGCTATTGTAACCCAGGCCCGTTTGGCGTAGGACCCACACCCGGTGATGGAGCCCAGAGGCCTGCTGCAGCCCAGCAGGAGCCCACGTGGCCGCTGCGATGCCTTTTTCCCCGTCAGCAATACGACTCAGCACCAAGGTGGGGGAGCCACGTCCCTGCTTGCAGAGCGCACAGCGTCCATTGTGCTGAGAGCCACTCCCCCAGGCCCGCGCTGCTCACGTGGCCTCCTCCAAGCCGCAGGGTCTCTGGAGTTCAGTGGGAGTGTCCAGATGTGCTGGCAGCCGTGCAGATTCCCCAAGTCTGTCTGTCAACACAGTTTGAGCAGCGGTAGATGTGGAAAGTAGTTTCCTCCTCCTGCCGCTGAATACAAGTGTGTATGTGTATATATGCGTGTATATAGGTCTGTGTATATATATATATTTATATTTATTCTAACCTACTTAACTAGCACTCCAGAAACCTTTTTGAGTTTGCTTCATCTGTAGAGGTGAAAGTTCTAGACTGCCAAGCTCTAGGGGAGTGGAGTGTTTCCAAGGCACAGGTCAGGCCACAGTCCCGGGGCATCCATTTGCTGGTCTCCCTGTGACACCGTGAGAACAGCTTGTAGCCAGCCCAAGCGGGAAGAGTGCGGGGGCAGCACGGACACGTGTGATGGGGGCGTGCTCCCGGCTCCCCCACCTCCCCTGTCAGCATGAAGGGGAAGGGCAGTCCATTAGAGATCTCAGCTGGTGGAAGCAGGCACACGAAGCTCCCTGGAGTCCTCTTCTGAGTGAGAGGTCCAGGACGGTCCCTTTCTTCGTCCTCTCACTTTACAAATGTATTTGGGTGACACTCGGTCATTTCTCAGGGTGATGCTGCATCCAGATGGCGAGGTTGGACTAGGGTTGCCACCTGAGTGGCGGGCATTGGTTGACCGCCCTCCCCATCCGTGTCTGTTCTCCCTGGCTAGCACTATACCCGGGTGCCACCTGGCTGCTGAGCTGTAGCGGGCATTCCACGTGTGGCTACAGCTGAGAGCAAAAACCATTGCAAACAGTTCCTCTTTCAATGCCAATCAACTGATCCAAACGCAGGGTCTCTGAAGTGAGGGGGCCGCGTCCACCGGCCCGCGACTCCAGCTACCCAGGGCTTTGTTTTCTGAGTCTGTGAGGTGGAGTTCAAAGGCCACCCTCGCATTCTGTGCTGCACTTACATGTAGGTGTACAAACTTGTATATACGGAAATGCTGAGCTCTTTGGAATTCTGAATGTAAATATTTCTTGTACATTGGGACCTTGACCCGTGTTTTCTCCTTTTCCTGTTTCCTGTCAGTCCTATTTATGCTCGACTTCTCATATGGGACACCTTACTCCTTCCTGCCTTTTTTTTTTTTTTTTAATTCACAAAAGTGTGGGAAAGTTCTTAGTTGAATTTGTTCCTGTATTTTAGAATTTGGTTCGGTTTTGCATCTCTGCCATAGAATTCCTGCCTGTCTGTTTCATGCTAATATCTTTCAACACGCCTGATTGTGTTTTTGCATTTCTGTTATAATTTTTACTGAGTGCAACGCATCGTGTTGTGAAGGCGTTTGAGGTGGTTTTCTGGTGCTGTCGGGACGGGACTGCAGTTCCTGGGAAGCTGCGGGAGCCTCATGTTCACACGAAGAAAGGCGTGCTTCCCGAGGCTTCCTGTGCGCTCCTCTAACTTCTTCAGTGCGTGTGGGATCACGCCCAGCCCTCCGGGAAGCCCGGCGCAGGCCTGACCCTCACCTGACAGGCTGAGACCGTGGTGGGCCGTCTGCTGCGCATTTCCTGTTTGTGGAGAAGCTGGGTGTGTGTTTTGAACCCACGCGTGATGAACAGCGGCTCACACAGTCTGCCTTTGCCGTCAGTGTTAGGGGTATTTACAGCAGGCCGGTGGCAGGCCTCGCCCGGGTGGACAGACGGGACTTTAGAGAGTGTCCCTGAGGTGCAGTTGTCCTCCAGGCCCCTCCAGCCGTGCTTGGAGCTGATGTGTGCCCTAGGGAAGTGGGCGGTTATCATGCAGGGACTGTCCGTGTGACCCCTGGGCACGGAAGGCTTCCTGACGCGAGCTGGCAGTCCAGGAAACCAGGGTTGGGTCATTACCCAGCTGCCAAACACTGGTTTTTTGTTTCTAGGTTTTGTACCTTTAAGAAAACATTCCTTTGTAACTTCCAAGAAAGATGCTGGGCACATTTGCTTCTTGGACCCCTGTTTTCATGTACAGGTTCTGCTCTTCTTAGCTTGCCGAGACTTGTGGAAAATGTAAACGTCGTCCGCGTCCGGTAAGCCCGGGGCTGCACTGGTTCCCTCCCCTGCGAGTCCCTCGCCCGGCCTCCTGCCCGGGTTGGCCGTGTGGCTTGCAGCAGGTGGCAGGGCAGGGTCCAGCTAAGCTGCCCTTGCGGTGCGCGGGCCACAGTCGGCCCCTTCTCACCTTGCAGCTTAGGTCCCCTCCGGGCGGAGGAGCCGCCCACGGCTCCCTCGGAGTCGGCTCACCTGGCTTTAACGTTTCCAGCCCCGGCCTGGGCCCCGCCCGGGAGCCCACTTGTGCGTGAGCAGACTTGGCAGTGGACAGCGAGGGCCTTCTTGTGGCACTGAAGAGGGTAGAGAAGCTCTCGCCTGTCTCTGACTCTGCTTGGTGGGGCGGAGCCTTTCGTGCGTAGCACACAGCGCCGTCTCCGCTGTCGGGCGTCACCCTGTCTGTGGTTTGTACTGACTTTGCATACTACTGATTATTTTTCAATAACCACTTGTACCTGCCATCAACCATGAGAGGCGAGAAGAGGTACGCTGTTTTCTCTGCAATAAACTCTTGCTAGGCTCTACCTCTGCACAAAGGCTCCTTTTCCACGTAGGCGCAGATTCCTCCTCTCCTGCCCCGCGCTGTGCGTCGTCTGGTGGAACCCAGAGACATGGAAACAAGGGTGCGTGCGGACTCTGGTTGTCTCCGTTGTGTTGTCTTCGGTCTCTCCCTCGTGACACTGCTGCTCTGCTGTGGGGCGTCCTCCGTGTGCGAAGGGTCCGAGCTGTTCTCACGACACTGCACTGCTTCCTCAGCCTTTCGTGGGAACGCTGTGCCACGGCCCGGAACCGAGCGCTCCAAGCGTTTAATGTGTAACTTCAACAACCGCTCTCGCAATAAATAACATGTATTGGCTGCATCCAGCAGGGTTTCCTCTTGCAAGTAAAAAGTACCAACCATGAAGCAAAACAAACTCTGTATTTGGGTTTCTCGTTGTAGTTCCTGGGTTTTTTTGTTTTGTTTTGTTTTTGTAAGATTCTTAAATAAAATAAAGAAACATCCTTTTCTCTTCACGTGTTCTTAATCTGAATCCGTGTTGGGCTTTGTGTTCGAAAGGCATTGTAGGAAATTTCTCACACCATGGACAGGACACAGCCCCTCAGCTGTGCTAGCTAGCCCAGGCTGTTCCTGGCAGCTACACAGGTCCTGAGACACCTGAGGAGTGTCCCACACGGAAGACACCACAGGGCAGAGGACGGCCACGAGATCAGGCACTCAGGGTCCCAGGCTCGCTGGCCAGTGTCCACGCTGGGGCCAGGTGTGGCTCGCAGCAGCTGTCCAGCCTGGGAGTCGGACAGAAGCCAGTGTAGACCATGCTACTAGGAGACTTTTAGCCTTGATGGGTACAAGTGGCCAGTGAACGCTCTGCGTTTGTTGACTCAGTCCTGGCCAGCTCTCCATGGAGGTCAGTCGGGGCAGGGAAACAGATGGGATTTCTGTGGCTATGGGAGATGGGAGGGGGTGTCCCAAGTGCCTGGGGTGAAGGACCCCTGAAGGAGGGCACGGCCGGGAAGCTGCTCCCAGGGCGCGGGGGCGGGGTGTGCGGGCTGCACAGAGGGCAGCGAGCA